CATAACCCATCATAGAGTCTCCGTTTGCCCAGTTTTTCGCTGCCAAGATATAGCTGAGATGGTTGGTTGACCTGTTCTGTCCTCTGTCTTTTGATGGTTAGGGTTCTGAGTCCGGCAGTTCAATTGGAAAGATCCCCAAAGAGACCATCTGAGGTGTTCTCAGACCAAATTCTTGTATGTGCTAGCAAGCACAGGGCCTGGCATAGTCCATTGCCCTGATTAGCTAGTGGTTACAATTATTGCTGGGTTTGTTTTGTTTCTAACCCTGACTTCCACTGGAACCAGTGCGTGCCGCAGTCCAGCCTGACTTTGCCCAGCACATACTCGGCCCTCACACAAACCAGTGGGAGCTGCAGCCTAGTCGAGCAACCCACAATAACCCCCACCAGACCCACCCTCTACCCTGGTTTGCCAGTATGTGTGGCAGACTAGTCCAGTCTGTCCCACATCCCCTTCTGCTCTCATACATGTCAATGGGTATTGAAGCCTTGTTCCGACTCTCCAGCCCACACACATGCTATTGGGTGCCTCTCTGTTTAGCCACCCCAGCCCCTGTCCTGGTTTTCGTGCCTTCCAGTGTATGTAGTAACCCAAGAGGGAGGAGCCCACTATTTCCTTCCCAGGTCACTCCTACTTGCGGATTATGCGCTCTCCAGGTGGTTCTGTGGTTTAACTTGACAGGCTTAGCCCCCAGTGCCAGCTTTTGCCAGCTGATGCTGCAGCTAAGCCCAACCAACCCCCACTCACTCTAATTTTTGTTTACAGCAGTAGGAATAATCAGCCCAGCCTGGCTTTTCCCTGATCTGGTCCACATGAGACCCACAGGTGTTGTATCCCTGCCTGGTCTGTTCTGCCCCCATCCCAGCTCATGCTCTCCAGTGGGAGTAGCTGTCCAGCAAGGGAACCACCCCTTATTCCCCTGCCGGCTCTGCCCCCTCCCTTCCTGGTTCTCATGTGTGCTGGTTGGGTGCGGTGGTCACATCCAATGCTACGGGTAACCTCACCTTGGCATTTCATAATGTGCACTGGTTTTTGTCGCGACTAAACCTGGCTCGACCCACACTCTGTCCCAGTGCTCGGATTGCCAGTGGATGACGTGTACTGATTCAGCCTGGTCTTCCCCTGGCCCATGCCAAAAGTATGCCAGTGGGAAACTTTCCATGGCCTGTTTTGGACTTTTTCCTGACTGACCTTCAACCCAATCTGGTTCTTACTGCTGGATATTTCAACCCAGCCAAGGCTCGTCCATGCTCACATACAGCTCACACATGGCTCAGTAGGGGCTGAGACCTAGCCTAGTCCATCCTGCATCTGCCCTGGTCCTCCAGAACACCAGAGGGTGTTGCAGTCTGGCCTGGCTTGGTGCATCCAGTCCCAATCCACACTTGTGCCAAGGGAGACTGCAACCGTATCCTGATAAGAATGCAGCCCCCCCATTCTAGCCCACGCCCCCTTGGTGGAAACCCCAACCCAGCTCGAGTGTTCCCTTAGCTCCCCAACCAGGCCTGTTCTCAGCCATACATCGCGCACATGCCAGTGGTTGCTCTGACTATGCTTGGCACAGCTCCTCACCTGTCCCAACCCCTGCCTTAAGACACTGTGTCTTAGCATCCCTGGCTCACGCAGACCGGTAGGTGCAAGAGCCCAGCTCAGCATGACCTGTGCTCCATCCTGATTTCTGATTTTTCCTGTGGGCTAAGTTAACTCGGTGCAGCCCAGTCTACTTCGTTTTATTACCAACTCACACATTGGTCAGCCGTTGGAGCTACTTCGCCCAGCTTGTCCAACCCCCAGGTCTGGACCACGTGTTCACCAGCGGGAGCTGTGACTTGCCAACAGAGTTTCCCAAGTTCTTCCACTTGACCCACTCCCAGACCTAGTTCTCACACATGCCAGTGTGGGCTTTAGGCCAGTGCCCGGCGTAGTCTGGCCTTCCATTTGGCCTTGTATGAGCTGGTGAACATTGCAGTCCAGGCCCACAAGTTTTAAAAGAGCCAGCATTGTGACCATTTTCCAATGTTATTTGAGATGTCACACCAAAAGTTCAGGCTGCAAAGACAAAAAAAACATGTACGGGACTGCATCAAACTAGTTTTTTTGCAACAAAGTAAACAGTAAAATGGAATGATCATATCCTACAATACGAGTGAATATTTGCAAATCATTTATCTGATAAGGAGTTCATATCCCAATTCTGTGAAGGCATTCGTACAACTCACTGGAATGACATTTCTCCAAATAAGACCTAAAAGCAGATATGAAAAGATGCTGAATATCATTCAGCTCTAGGGACGCACCAGTCCAAACCGCAGTGGACATCACCTTGCACTCACAAGGATGGTCTGAACAAAAAGTCACAAGATAAATGCCAGTGAGGATGGGGAGAAGCAAGAACTTCCTCACACTGTTGGTGGGACTGTAGATGGGTGCAGCCATTATGGACACTGAGGTGGCAGTTCCTTTAGGAAACAAGAAATAGAGCTGTCATGTGACCCAGCAGTCCCTCCTCTGGGGATTCCACCAACAAAGATGTAATCACTGTTTACAATGTTATCTTCTGTCCCATGTTCATTGCATCATTCTCAGTAGTCAAGATATGAAAAATCTAAATGTTGACAGATAAAAAAGCTGTGTGATATAAATATGTGGCTTTACTTACAAGAGTCCTCCAAAAGTTTTAGAACATGCAAATGTATATTATTAAAATGGTTTTCAAAGTTTTTATATCAAAATAAACAATTTTTAATTCCATATTCTTTGAACAACAATATCTATTTAGATAGATATTATTCAGTCTAGAGAAATAAGATTCTGCCATTTTCCACCACATAATTGAATCTGGAGGGTATTACACTAAATGAAACAATTGTAACATATAAGGAAAACTATGATACAATTTCTAATATATGTGAATTTTTTTTATTGTAAAGTCAGATATATAGAGAGGAGGAGAGACAGAGAGGAAGATCATCTGTCCATTGATTCACTGCCCAAGTGACCAGAGTGGCCAGAGCTCCGCTGATCCAAAGTCAGGAGCCAGGAGTTTCTTCCCAGTCTCCCATGTGGGTACAGGGTGCTAAGGCTTTGGGCCGTCCTCGACTGCTTTCCCAGGCCACAAGCAGGGAGCTGGATGGGAAGCAGGGCCGCTGGGATCGGTGTCCATATGTACAATGAGCTTTTCTTTGGAGTTTTACTTCCAGTGCATGAAGGACAAGCACTTTAGCTGCTAGGCCACCACGCTGGGCCCATATGTGAAATCTTACAGAAGAGTCAAAGATGTAGATAGCAAGCCTAGAGCAATAGTGTGGTAGCAGTTGGTGAGCTCAAGATCAGATGAGTTAAAGTAGCAGATTCACCATGAATGTCTTCGGGAATAAAATGGTACTGCATTTGAGATTCCTGTAAACGAATACATTCCAGCTGCCCTTGTCCCTAAAATTCACTCACTGTACTGACCATTTTGCTGGTTTAAGTATTCCATTTCTTCATGTCTATACTTAAATCCACTCAGTAAAAATCAGTTTTAAAGGAAGAGACAGAAAACAGTATAACAATCAAAATTATTTACCCCCTAGACTGGTACCACAATACATCTATTTAAGAATGTCTGCTTAAGTGCTAGGTTTCAATCAAGTAATCTATAAGCATGTTAAATACCAAGTGAATGTGTCTGTTACATTTGAAGCATTTTAATTCTTTAGGCTTACATTTTTTTTCCCCCTCTTGAGGAAAGAGACCAACTTTTGTTCCATTGTACATATTTGTCCCCTAGGTTAATTGCTTCTTCACTAGCTTGGATAGTTATACATTTTATTTCTTACTCTTTCTATTTTCATGTAATTCAGTGGCTGTTAAGGCCAATGCTGCCTTTATTTTGAATTTATTTTTGGGTGCCCAACCTAGTATGAAAGTGACTTTATGTTGAAGTAATAATCTTTTAACTATAGACAGGATCTGAACAAAATAGCACTTTTAGTTTCCTCCTGGGCATTTATAAAATTGAAGAAGTATCAGATTTTATCTTTCATACATTATTTCCTACATGGTAAATACGTATTTCCTCCATCATATGTCACTATCTTTTAGTAGGAAGACTTTTTGTAAGATGAGGTGGGGATGTAATTCTTTATACAGTGTAGCTGCAGTTGCCAGTGTGAATACGAGTTACAAGGCTGTCCCAGTGTACAAATAATGCTGTGCAGCCTGAGAGTACCTTGTGGCCCTTCCCTTTGTATGACATAGTGCAGCGCAGTCAGCAAATATGCACTAAGGTCGTCAAGAGACTCTTGTTTTGCTTTGCCTGATGTTGTATTTAGCTTTCTGGGAAGTCCCATTGTTTTCTGTCGGACCGAAGGAAAGGATTAAAATTAATGGAAATGATTATATTGCCTCAGATCTCATTCAGCCAGAACTGTTTAGTTTTCCTTACACAACCAAAATTGGGCTAACTTTGGACCAAATTGGGCTTCCTGCCCATGTGATAATTAATACTTTGTACCTCCGAGGTACTATAAGCCTTTCAGAGTTGACTAGACTTAATTAGGGTGTACGATGAGCTTTTCTTTGGAGTTTCACTTGGAGAGCATGGGAATATAAAGATGCTATAATTAACTTGGTGGGTAGAAATAAAATTTGTCTTCTTTCTGTTGAATATGGGACTTAATTCTGGAACTCTATAATTTTAAAATGTCTTACTAGTTCTCCCTGATATTAACAAAGTTGATTCTTGCAAATTAAATAATAATTTCTTTATAGCAAGTCATCTGACCTGGACTGTCAAAGAAGTTTGCTAGAGATGGAAAGTGGAGCTCATTAATTTTGGTTTCATGCCTTTATTTGTTACTATTCTCTGTCTTTCTCTTTGAACAGGATTTCCTTTCAACAGCCTTTGATGAAATACAGGAGCACATTTTATTGCTTGGGCAAGTGCTGTAAGTTAAAAGCTGGGGAAAGTCAAAGTCCAGATTAACAAAAGCTGGGTTGTGTTGTATTATCTACAGGCAGTAAAGTCAGCTGTCCAGACCATCACTGTTGGAGGAGTGAGCACATCCCAGTTTAAGACCATCATTCCTCTGGCCACCGCTCCCAATGTCCAGCAGATCCAAGTGCCTGGAAGCAAGTTTCATTATGTGCGACTTGTCACTGCCACGACAGCCAATAGCGCCACCCCGCCCGCCAGCCAGAACCCCAGCACAAATACGCAGCCTCTCCAGCAAGGTCAGCAACCGATTGGGGTTTTGTCAATGCCTTTAACAACTTGATTGAACAGCGAGCCTTGTCTTGCTAAAAATCCTGGTGGAGTGTGGCATTTCAGCTGACAGTTGGAGCTAGCTGTGGTTATAGAGGGCAATGGGAAGTAACAATTGTAGCTTAGTATTTCATCCTGCCACAAGTTAGCACACCATGTCACTGTATTGTATTACCAGATACAACTGCTTGTTAATTTGTGATTGGCTGTTTTAGTGCCGATATTCAAATTTATTATTTGGAGGCAGGCAGTATTGTACAGTGGGTTAAGCTGCAGCTTAAGACCCCAGCGTTCCCGTATCCAAGTGCCAGTTTGTACCCTGGTCCATTTCTGATCTAGCTCCCTTCTGAATGCGCCTGGGAAGCAGCAGAGAATGGTTTAAGTCTCCAGTCTGCCACCAACGTTATGACCATTGGGGAAGTGAGCTGTGAAAACCTCTCCCTCCCTCTTGCTCTCTGCTACTCTGCTACTCTGTTTTCAAATAAGTGAATCTTGTAGAAGAAAAAAGTACCACCTCTGCCAGTGAAATAGTTTTAGATGGTACCAAGTTATTTTGTTTTTTTAAACTATGCGACTTCTTGAGAAGGTTTGGAGCAGTTGACATGACAAATAGACAAGGTATGAATACGTAAGAATATCATTTGTTTTTTTCTGATGTTGAATCTGTGATTACTAACAAGAAGTAATTATAAACTGTACTAGTCTTTTCTCACTTGTGTTTTTTCTAAATGTCATTCCCATTTTGTGTCCTTTTGTTTTCTTGTTTAAGGTTAGCCATTTTTACACCTGATACACAAAGACACATAACTCTTGTCCATCTTTGTCTGTTTTTTAAGAAAATTGGATTATGTAAAAGGATCACAATAGTTTATAGGTCAGGATATAAGTTTTTCCTTGAAAGATTGCTTTCTATCGAACAGTTTCCAAAATCAGTCAGTGTCAAGTAAATCACATGTTTTTATTTTGTAGGAAATAAATAGAAGCATTAAGGATCATGGTTATTTTTCCAGTTTTGTTAAAAGTTCAGAGATTTGAAGCTACCCATTGTTGATGGCTAGTTCGTTCACCTGCTGAGAGAAAATGACAATTTAAGTTAATACTAACGGGAAGTAACATATTGTATATGTATACAGATCTTTTTCTGGACAGGAAAAGAAAGGCAAAAAGAAAAATTTAAATGGATAAAAGGAAAATTGCATGGATGGGTGAGTGGATATATAGAGAGGGAGATAACAGAAAATGTAAATGTGGCGTTAAATATATTACGATCTTTCCAATGGCCTGATTTCCCGAGAGGAGTTTTCTGACATTCCAAAAGGAACTAGGCTTCCTTCAAAAGCAGTATAGAAACAGAAGCCAAAGTTCAAAGGTCACAGCCTGTTTGTTGCCTGCTCATGGCAAAGGGCAGAACAGGGCTGTGGAGAGTCCAACTGGGAGAAGGAGGAATTCAGCTTAAAGACATGAAGAAGCCTCCATCTCTTGTGGTGATGGTTCCTGAAGTTTGGAAGCAGGATGTTCCAAAGGATGGTTCAGAGTCCCTTTCACATAATAAAAATGTTGAAGAGTGTGCCAACTGCTATGTAACCTGCAGTGATGATTGCTAACGTGTGCACAGGCGGGGGCCTTGGTTTTGTCCTGCCCTTTCCTAAGTGTTTAGGGTGTTCTCTTTGCTGACCACTTGGTTTTATATCATCTGCATTCCCTCATGTACAGAGACCAAACCCGTGTACACTTGGGTTCCCAGGTTTTCTAGGTGTGGTATGTGTGTTGTGTGTGAGATACACACAGGCAGGGTAGGAGCAGGGATGGTCCCCCTGTCTGCTGTGACCAAGGGCAAGTCAGATTCCTTTGACCAGGTACCTGGTGTATCCCTCTGCCTGTGGCTGACTTAGGAAGCCTCTCCAGGAAGCAGGTGCAGGAGGAGGCCACTGCCCTGCGTCCCCAGCATGAATTCCAGCTCACTTTCTGTTTCCCACTACTGTTGTGGAGTTTCATCTGCAGTGATTATTAGACCTTTCCTGATGCTTGGCTGCAATTAAGGAGAATCAAAGGTGAACAGGAACAACTTCCAGTTCATGTCAGGTGACACTGCTCCTATACTTCATGGCCATATACTCTTCTTGAGTAGCAACCTTACTGAGATGTGTTGCCTTTTGGCATCATCACAGAGCTGTGCACTCCCCACTCTCTGGAATGCTCCTGCCCTCCCCAGTTCTTCTTGTTGGCCTGTCACCTTGCTGTGCACCTGCTGCCTCTCAGATCAAAGCACCCTCTCTCTGATGTTCTCTTTCCAGAACTCACAGTGTTACCTTTAGTCATCAACCTTCCAGCCCTCCCAAAAATAAACAGTCTGTTCATGCCACAGTAGCCATTCTGTCCAAGAAAGTCTATTTTTCATTTACTGTTCAGAGCAATTTAGATCCCATTATCTCAGCCTCATCTCTCAGATTAGCCTGCAGGCCTTACTGTGGCATAAATGAAATCTGAAAAGAGATGTTGTTTGTACTCTTTTAAATTCCTCCTTCAGACCAGAAATACAGCAAGCAGGTTTTTTTTTAAAGAAATAAATAAAAGGGCATAAGATTTATACTATCTGAAGGGAAGCCAGCATATAGGGTTTTTTTTTTTTTTAAGATTTACTTATTTTTATTGCAAAGTGAGATACACAGAGAGGAGGGGAGATAGAGAGGAAGATCTTCATCCAATGATTCACTCCCCAAGTGGCCACAACGGTTGGTACTATGCCAATCCGAAGCCAGGAGCCAGGAACTTCCTCCAGGTCTCCCACGTGGGAGCAGGGTCCCAACACATTGGGCCATCCTCAACTGCTTTCCCAGGCCACAAGCAGGGAGCTGGATGAGAAGTGGGGCTGCCAGGACTAGAACCGGAGCTCATATGTGACTTTGGTGCATTCAAGGCAAGGACTTTGGCCACTAGGCCACCGCGCCAGGCCCTAGCATATAGTTTTAGCATGTGTACTTGTTTTGGTTCAAATGCATAGTACCGATGTCTTGGCTCAGTGTGATCCCAGCATTTCTCTCTGTCTTCAAGCCTGCTCGTCCTGGGGTTTTCCATTCAGATAGCTCTCACTGCAGCAGTCACTTAGCTGCAGCTTACTCTTTCTTCCTGTATAAATGTGCAGACTTCACCCTAACATGCAAGGCCCTCAGCTAAATGGTTGCAGTCCGCCTCTTGCCTCTGCCTGTTGGCTGTAACCCCAACATCTATCCAGACCTCTTCACTAGTGTTGTGTGGATTGCTTTGCTGCTTCCCAGGACTGGGCCTGCATTCCTGGTGCCTCTGCCATGTAGTCCCTTCTGCAGCCTGCAGGCCCTCTTAGTGGTCTGCCTATTAATTAGGGCCCGTGTCAGCAGCCTTGCACAATGCAATGAAAATTCTTTTTCCTCTGCACTCCAGTTCTTTAGTCCTGCTGGTCTTTTTTGAGTCCTTGCCAGATCCATTGCACTAGAGTGTAATCTTGAGAGCAGGTGTCTTGTGTTTCTGCTTCTGCATAGCAATGGTTACAGTGCCATGTGTCAAGTCGTGATGCTTATGATAATAACAGTAACAATAAAGGCAAGTAGTATGGAGCACTTGCTGTTTGTTAGACACTAATGAGTTTTCATGAGCCAGCGTAGGTACTATCCATATTGCAAAAGATTTGGACAGTGAGAGTTAACGTATTGAGAAAATCACAGAGCTAGGTTTAGAACTTCATAAATTTTAATATGTATATGTATGTGAAGAGTTATTTTATTTATTTGAAAGCTAGAATGACAGAAATCTTCCATTCTCCTGTTCACTCCTGAAATGGCCACAGTGGTCAAGCCTGGGCCAGCTAAAGTCAGGAGTTCCATCTTGTGCTGCCTTTCCAGGTACAATATCAGGGAGCTGGACTGGAAATGGAACAGCCAGGACTTGAACTCCATTGTAGAGTGCTTGCATCAAAAGCAGTGACTTAAATTGATGTATCACCATATGCCTACCTTTTATACTATGCTGTATATTGTGTTAATACTGATTTATGTTGTCATTTTTCCTGCTTTGAATAGAAGTGTAACAGTTTGAAATTTTAGTATAGAGCAGTATTGTTACTTGGGCTCACCAACGGCAATTCTTTCATTTGTGTAACATTTCACTTCACTGGATTTAATACTGAGTGTTTAAATCATCTGGCTACATAATGAATGTTTTCAGTTAAATAAACCCTCCTAGAGTAGCTAGACTGTGGCAGCCGTAACCATGGGTTTCCTGGTAAGATGGGATGATTAGTGTGAAACTACAAGTATCCTGATTAAAGATTGCCCAAAACAGGAAATAAGTGGAATTCTTTAAGCTGTTTCATGCAGATAAACTGGGAGAACAACATCATAACTGCTTAAAAATATTTCTCTAAACAAATTGTCCATATTTTTCTTTTTTCTAAAAAGCAAAGCCAGTGGTCGTTAATACAACCCCGGTACGGATGTCTGTTCCAATCGTTCCGGCTCAGACTGTCAAGCAAGTAAGTATCACACAGCTTCTCAGTCTTCTACGCCTACAACTTACCCTTCACAGTGAAAGCTCTAACTTAGAGCCAAGAGATTTACACTGCATAAACAACTGTGAAGTTATTTGGTGATCATGGATATATTTCCCTTCTTTTTAGGTTGTTCCCAAGCCAATCAATCCAAGTTCACAAATTGTGACCACTAGCCAGCCCCAGCAGCGGTTGATCATGCCTGCCACACCACTGCCACAGATCCAGCCCAATCTCACCAACCTGCCACCAGGCACTGTCCTGGCACCTGCTCCGGGAACAGGAAATGTGGGTTACGCAGTGCTTCCAGCTCAGTATGTTACTCAGGTATGTGGGAGAAGGGAAGTCACCGCATGTCAGGAATGGGAACTGAATCTAAGATGGCTAACACTGTTGCATTCTGAAACTTAGCTCCAAATTAAAATGGCTGTTTCTAGAATTTGAAAATGTCAGCCAAAACTTCTGGGCTTATTTCTGTGTCTCTACAGCACTTACAAATATACGAGTCGAGCCAGATATAGGAGTAAGTCAGTTGGGAGCTGAGAGTAGCTTGATGAGGGCAACATTTGAAGATGGGAGGAAAAAAAAATCACATTGAAGTTAAACTCAGCAGAGTCCAAATGAATTTTTAAGAAAGCCTGATTATAATAAAGCCTTCCCTCAGACATAAATATGAAGCCACTGACTTGTGCTTGGAAAACAGAAATGTGGGATGCATTTGTGGGTGACGTGCCTTCACCAACCCTGTCATCTGGTTATCTTAGGAAGCAAGCTAAAGACTAACGTTAGGAGGAGGGGAGAGTGCTGATTTCACGAAACAGATAGAAGGTTTATGTATGCAATCAAATTAATACCATGTTCTAATTGGTTAGCCCAAGTTGTAAGAGAGACGGCACCTCCATTATGGTATAGAAGATTAAACTGCTGTCTGTGACACTGTCATCCCTCATGGGTGTAGGTTCATATCCTAGGTGCTCCATTTCTGATCCAGCCCCCTTCTGATGTGACTGGGAAAGCAACAGAAGATGGCCCAAGGACTTGGGCCCATGAAACCTAGAAAGAGTTCCTAGCTCCCGGCTTCAGCCTTGCAACCATTTAGGAAGTGAGCCGGCAAATGGAAGATATCTCTGTGGCTCTCCCCTCCCCACCTCTCTTTCTTTCTCTCTGTCTATAACTCTATCTTTCAAATAAGTAAATAAATATTTCAGGGAAAAAAAAAAACAGAAACAGAAATCTACCTATATACTGAAAGGTGCTTTGGAATGTGTTTCTATGGCCACCGATTAATAATGCTGATCATTGTGTCTGAGAGTATCTGGCATATTTGTACAATATGGTGTAAAGCCAGCTTTCTTTACCTGTAGCTCCAGCAGTCTTCCTACGTGTCCATAGCGAGCAACTCAAACTTTACCGGCACATCTGGTGTCCAGACCCAGGCAAGGCTCCCGTTCAATGGGTGAGTATTTGGAACAAACCTAAGTGAAGCAGTTGAACCAGCTTCAGTGCAGAATTCAATCACAGAACTCTCAAATGCCCTGTATCAGCTTCACCAGCCTTGCCACACTCCTGTTGATTTTCATCCTGAGAATGTGGTTGTAATGAAGATGCTAGCTATTTAGAAGTGGTGTGTTAGATCCTGGGTTTTTTTTTTTTTTGCTTATTTGATGCTTGTTTCCTTTTGTCATTGTTGCTGTTTGTTGATCTGCTACTTGCTGCCTTAACAATACCAAGTTAGAAACAGTGTTTGCTCGGTTAGGTGGCATCAGCCATACTGAATCTCCAGTTTCTCTGTGTGCCCCTTGACTTTAACCGCTTTTTGTAATAGCATCCTGAGATTTTTAAGGAGCCTTTAACTTTTTCCTCTCAGAAGTAGGAGTGGCTGTGAAGTGGTCTCTGGCAGCTGTTGATAACTTACCCATTTGAAAAGGCTATCCCGGATCTTAGCTCTTTCCCTCTCTTTTCATGTTACAACTTGTCTTTGAACTTTGTGATGATGAAATAATAACGGGACAGATTTTTACTAAAGATGAATGGTGTTGGTTGTAGATTTATCCTAGGAAGAATTTACAGTTTAGAGACTTATAATTTGTACTACGTGCTTTCATTGATGAACATGTGGATCTTTGTTCTCTCCTGCATAGCGTAATCCCATCGGAGTCTGCAAGTCGGCCCAGAAAACCCTGTAATTGTACAAAATCCCTATGCTTGAAATTGTAAGTGTTTCTGCAGCTGCTTACTCACTTGATGCAATTGGAAGTACTCTTACAAATCAGCAAGAGCTAAAATAATAATAATAATAATAATAATAAGTAAGAGCTAACTAAGGCTTCCTAACACGCGAGTTTCATAAGCTTAAGTCCTCTGAGTAAACGTCCACGTGCGTGTTGGTGCACTGAAGGCAGTGTAAAAATATCCTTTTTTTCCAGAAAACCAGCTTCCAAGGTAGAAACACAGCAGCATGAGGTAGACAGCCTTTCTGTGCTGAATAGGAAGTTGGAGTTTATTTCTGACGTTTGTATTTGGGATCCCAGCTAAGGTAATTTTGGATGTTGTTCCTCAGTTCGTGAAGTCTAGAACCAGGGAATTAGTGTAGTGCTTGCCCTGTGGGTGGCTCAGACCCAATCACAGGAACCATTGGCACTAGCTCCAGAGGTCTACACCGGCACAGAGCAGGAGCCAGGAGCTGGAGCTAATTAAGACACAGGCATCCTAACCCTGTCATAATGGCTAGCGTAAATGCCCACCCTCTGAACCATTTTGCAAGGCTTTACATAATTAATTTGTTAGCATTAAGCTCCAAGATAAAACAGTTGCTCTTCTTGGGGGGTCAGTAAGCCCTAAGTTAGCTCAGGTGAGCAGGTCCTATTAGTGTTTTTATGTTTTTCAGGATTTTGAAGTAACTTACTTAGGGAACACATACAATCACATAGCTCCTGTGTTGACATTATTATTACTTAGGCTAGGTTTCTAGGCCAAAATTCTAGTTGGTGACTTAAATTTTTAGCCTGATTGAGTATGATTGATAGTATGTATTAACTCTGTAACTATGTGAACCTGTTTATATTTGTAAATGCTTTGCCACATGCATACCATGTATATAAAATGTGTGTGCGTGTGTTTATATATATGTCTTCAGGTAATTACTACTTTTGTTTAATGAGTGTTAATCTTATACTGGTTTTTACTTTTCAGATATTGTGATTGTTTTGCAAATGGTGAATTTTGCAACAACTGCAATTGTACTAATTGTTATAACAATTTGGAACATGAAAATGAAAGGCAAAAAGCAATAAAGGTGATTATTTTTTATTTTATTTAACAGTAATCTCCAATTTCACTTTTTTTAAAGAATGGAAATTGTTTTGTAAGGAAGCATATTTATTCCCTTTGCAGTGAGATACCATCTGTGATTCAGCCTCAGTTGTGCTTTGATCTGTTTTGATAGGCATGCCTTGACAGAAATCCAGAAGCCTTCAAGCCGAAGATAGGGAAAGGAAAGGAGGGAGAGTCGGATCGACGTCATAGCAAAGGATGTAATTGCAAGCGATCAGGATGTCTTAAAAACTACTGTGAATGCTATGAGGTAGGACACCAGCTGGGGGAAATGGCCCAAGCATCTTGTGAAAATTGTTTTACATCAAAACATAGTACTACAGTTTACTTGAAAATTAGGAACTCATTCTGCTATTGCAGTTTGTACATACGCACCCTTAGCTGGGGTTCCTCGCATGAAGAAGGTCTCCTGGCCTCCCCAGCAGAGCTTTGGCTGTGTCCTTATGGCTTGGGGAGTGGGGGTCTCGTTAGCTGACTTACCAGCTTGCAGCTTCTGAGCCGTCATAGCTGGCTGGATGCAGATCAGAGCACGGGTCTCTGCCCTGTCAGGACAAACTTCAAGAGCTTGGCCTCTGTGCAGCAGTGGTGCTCAGCTGAAGGTCAGTGCTGCCTGCCCTTCTCCACGTACTTTTCAGAGGCACTTAGGTTCAGGGCAGCCTGCACTGCAGAGTGTAGGCCTGAAAGCAGGGATTCCCACTAAATGCCAAGAGAACCCTCTGCAGGAACACTGTGAAGCTAAACTGAATGATGTGCCATTTGCCTTGACAACAGAAAAAGGCAAGCAAAGAATATGGTTACGGGTGTCTGTGAGGTGATTGCATCTACTTCCCAATTTTAGTTTTCCATAGACCTAACTTTTTCATTTATAGCTCAGATGTCTTTTCTGGGAGACCTAAGCCCTGGGAGCCAGTGATGTGGTACAGTGAGTCAGCCACCACTTGTGATGCTGGCATCCTTTTTGATCATTGGTTCAAGGCCCTGCTGTTCAACTTCCAGTCCAGCTCCCTGCTATTGCAGCAGCAGCTTAAGACCCTAGAACTTGGGCCCCTGTCAGCCACAGGGAGACCGAGAAGGAGTTCCTGGTTCTTGGCTTTGCCCTTGCCCAGCCTGGTTGGGGTGGCTATTTGCAGAGTGAATCAGACGGAAAATCCCTAGTTCTCTGTCCTTTCTACTCTGTTTCTCTGCTTTTCAAAAAAGTAAATCTTAAAAAAAGAAAGAAAAACATGGGGCTGGCTGTGTGTGTAGCAAGTAAAGCTGCTTCTGACACCAGTATCCCGTATGGGTGCTGGTTCATGACTCAGCCACTCCACTTCCAGTCCAGCTCGTGGCTGATAGCCTGGGAAAAGTCGTTGGAAGATAGCCTGAGTGCTTGGCTCCTGGCTATCTATGTGGGAGACCAGAAGAAGTTCCTGGCTCCTGGCTTCGGCTTGGCCCAAACTCAGCCATTGCAGCCATTTGAGGAGTGAACCGAAAGGTGAAAGGTCACTCTTTCTCTCTCCCTCTATTGCTGTAACTCTTTGGGGGCTTTTTTGTTGTTTTCATTTTTATTTTGAAAACTTCAATGTAACAGGCTTGGAATGCCTGAGGTAAACTTCAGGTTACCATAACTGATTTCTTGGGGTTTTTTTTTAAGATTTATTTATTTATTGGAAAGTCAGACACACAGAGAGGAGGAAAGACAGACAGAAAGATCTTCCATCCGGTGATTCACTCCCCAAGTGAGCACAACGGCTGGTGCTGTGCCGATCCAGAGCCAGGATCCAGGAACTTCTTCCTGGTTTCCCACATGGGTGCAGGGTCCCAAAGCATTGGGCCGTCCTCGACTGGTTTCCCAGGCCACAAGCAGGGAGCTGGATGGGAAGTGGAGCTGCTGGGGTTAGAACCAGCTCTCATGGGATCCTGGAGCGTTCAAGGCGAGGGACTTTAGCCGGTAGGCCATGCTGCTGGGCCCTACCATAACTGATTTCTTGATATGCCTGAAACTACTGATAGTTCTTTGGGTTGAATCATTCCTACAGTTGGCTCATCTCATCTCCTTATATTTTTTTACTGTTTGAAATTTATTTCTCAGTGGGCGACTTTTTTTTTTTTTTTTTTTTTTTTTTTTTGCCAAAAAAGCCTTGCCTTTGCACTTGCTGAAGTAACTCTATTGGTAACTGCCTGCTCCCTTGGTCAGGTTGCCGTGCTGCACAAGGGTACGTGCTTCCATCCCTGTCCCCAAATAGCAGGTGACATGTGAAAGATTTTATGTACCATGATTTTTTTGTGTAATGAACTTTTGTCTGATTTACATATGTAAAAGGCCAAATACTACACTTTATGAAGTAAAATCATACAGTAGAGTAGCATGTTCTTAGCTCTGTAGTTAATACAATTTGTATAAAGTCAGGGTTATTTTGTAACATCTCTAAGGATATCTCACAAGTCTGACCTGCCAGTTTGCATCCAATGTTCGACTGTTTTGTTGCTTTCTTTTACTTGGATACCAGATAAAACATTGGCTTATGTTTATAAACCATACCATACAGAAGTTGTCATGTGAACAGTTTTTTGGGGGGTGGGGTGGGGTATAAGCTTTCAAATCCACCAAAGAGAAAAATGAAAATTGGTGAAAAGCTGGAGAAGATCAAAACTACCCCTTCATACATATATAACATCGGCCAGTCAGCTGCATGCTAGGCATGCAAAATTGAAGTAGATATGAACTGATCGTGTTATTGAGCTGGTGATCAAATTTGTGAATTGCTACAAGTAGAAAAAATAGTGTTCAAAGAGAGAAACTTACCCATAGGCATTTTAATGGGGATTGTGTTGTGACAGATGCAGTGTCCAGTAACTAATTGGTTATTCCAAAATTCATGAATCAAAAAGTGGTAAAACTTGGAAGATACGAAACTATGAATAATGAGGGTTTATTTGCTCATGAGGAATTAGCTACCATGTCTCACAGTTTGGGTTGAATTACTGTTCTTTTGACACCCGAGTCTTCAGTTAAGTTGGCTTTTTGATCCAGTTGGTTTGCAGCTGGACCCAGGTTCACATTCACATCACTTACCTTCAGGCTTGTTGACTGGGTAAGTGGCTGTCCACAGTACTTGAATGGTTGTGTCTCTCTTTGTTTTTGAACATTTATTTATTACTTACCTCAAGGCAGAATAGTTGAGAGAGAGGGAGAGAAGACAGGAGATGGAGATCGCTGCAGATGCCTGCAATAGCCTGCTCTGGGCCAGGCCTAAGTCAGGAGCCAGGAACTCCATCCTTGTATCCCACATGCATGGCACGAGAGTGAGTACTTGGTCCTTCCCAGGAGCATTTGCAAGAAGCTGCTTTGGAAGCAAAGCAAGAAGAATGTGATTGGTATGTTTCTGTCACCGTGAGAACAGGCAGTTTCTCAGCATATGATGCTTATTAAGAGCAGCTTTAAGGGCTGGCACCATGGCTCAACTGGCTAATCCCCTGCCTGCAACCCATACGGGCACCTGCCGGAGTCCAGCTGCAGCCGAGTTTGAAACTTGAGAAGGGTGCGTGGAATAAACGTAGAGAGAAAAGAAATGGACCACTACAATTTCAGGATTATAGTGGGCCACGCAAGAAAGCTGTCTCCTTTATTTATACAGAAGCAGTCACAAGCTATGGCACAGACATAGTTAAGTGGGTATTTCCAAGGATGATTCTACTCTTTGTTTCACTTTAAAGCTCTCAGTAGAAGTTCTCAATAGATGGTGCGTATCAATCAGTAACACATTTCTTACTACAGTTCTCATTCTACAACTTAATCTTGAATCAGTTAAGGGAAGAAATGCATCACAAAAAAGGGGGGAACCTAAAGATTAACGATGGTCAAATGGGGTAGCAGAGACAGAGACAACATGAGTTGTAAAAGGCCCTTTTGCCAAGACGTTAACAACATCAACTTCCAAGCTCACATTGATAGTAAAGACCAACTCAGCAGTGGCAGACAATGCCTAAATAAATTATAGAATTCTCAGCAGGGTTGTCTGGTGTCCATGCAAAGGAAGGTGGAACTGCTTTTCACGTGGTTGTAGAGACACCCACCAAGCCTTGCCATGCAGTAGGAGATTCCTTGCGGCCTTGCCTGCAATGGAACAGTTCTCTTCACACCTTTGCATCTTCCAGACCCACTACACAGACCCCAGCAGGCACCAATTCCTGTTCTAGCTGCTCTGCTTCCCATCCAGTTCCCTGTTTGGGGCCTGGGAAAGCAGCGGAGGGTGACATTACACCCACATGGGAGACCCAGCTCAGGAAGCTCCTAGCTCCTGACTCCTGACTTCAGGCTTAAAATTGACTTAGTTCCAGCCATGTGGCTGAGTGAACCAGTAAATGGAAGATATTTCTCTCTCCTCTGTTAATCTGCCTTTGAAATAAAAATAAATAAATCTCTTTTTTATTAATTAATTTATTTATTTTTGACAATCTTGACATAATTTAGGGTCATAGCTCTTGCTGGTAAGCACGTGGTCCAGGCCTGGGTATTGGGCAGGGTATCTCCATTTGTCAGCAAGTGTGTGAGTTGGTTTTGGAAGGGAGCAGACTGGACAGGGCTAAACGAACCATAGCCCACTGTCAATTGCAGAAACTAGGATGGAGTGCAGGTCATACAGGGCTAGGCTGCCACACCTACTGGTTTACATGAGCCAGGAATGGGAGCAGACTGAGCAGAGTCAGGCTGCAGCATCCCAAGGCAAAGGCCAACACAGCTGGGGGGTATACTAAGCTGGGCCATAGCAACCACTGGAACATGCAAGATCTGTGGCTGCAATCAGGCCTGGTTAGGGAACGAAGGGGACGCCCCAGCTGGGGTTTGGGTTCCACTGGTGAGCTCAGGGGATGGAATTGGGGCTACGGTCTGGTCTAGACATGGCTGCAGTGTCCTCTGGCATGAGTGTGGACTGGGTCTAGGTGTGCCAGACTAGGCTAGATTCCAACACCCACTGGTGCTCATGAGAACCAGGTTGGGTGTAGGACAGGTTGGACTAGGTCTCTGCCCCTGCCAAGCCATGTGTTAGCTGTATCTGGGTGTAGACCAGACTTGGATGGGCTGTGGCGCCCAACAATAGGAACCAGAATGGGTGAGGGCCAGTCAGGAAAGGCCATCTTTCCTGCTAGGACAGGAGGTTGACGAAGAAGGGCTGGCCCATGGACTCACCAGTGTGTGCGATCTGGCATTGGGAGAGATTCTGATGGAGGAGGAGGAGCTTGGGGAACTCCTCTGTTGGGACACAGTCCGTGCAGGTGAGTGCAAGAACCAAAAAAGGGAGCAACCCAGACCTGACCAGGGAATGGTACCCACAGGCTTACCTTTGGTTTAGGTCTTGCACAAGCCAGGCTAGGCCAGTTCATATCACCCACTGGTAAATCTGTGAACAACAATGGTGTGTGGGTCAGGCCACAATACCAGCCAGTTCACATTCATGCCAGGACTGGGTGCTGGCCAGACTGGCTAGGTTGTAGTCCCCACCAACATGAGCTGGAACTGGAGGCGGGCCATCCCAGACCAGGCTACAGCACCCACTGGCAAATGCTGAGGTGAGGTGGGCCATGACAGACTGGGCTGCCGCACCCAACCAGCACATGTGAGACCTAGAGGAGAGTGGGCTAATCTGGTAGAGAGTTACGGGGCTTCTTTGCTGGAACACTATTCCCACTGGCGAGTATGAGAGCTGGGACTCGAGGCAGACCAGGTTGAGCAGGGCTACAGCACCTGTTGGCCTTCATGTAAGCTGGATCCAGGGAAAGTCAGGCTGTATGGACTGTACCTACTGGTTCATGCATAAGTCAGAGTAAGTGTGGGTTGACTGGGCTTTGCCACAGCATCAGCCAGCACGTGGTAGTTCGTGGGCCAAACTTTCAAGCTAACCTACAGAACCACCTGGAGAGTGCAAGATCCAGGATTGGGAGTGAACCCATGAGGGAAATAGTGGGCACCTCTCTCATGGGCTGCAACTCTTACTGGTGAGCATGGAAACCAGGATGAGGGGCAGGCATGGCTGGTCAGAGAGAAGCACCCACCAGTATGTGTGTGGACTGGTTGCATTCAACTAGGCTTCAATGCCCATTGACATGTATGAGAGCGGAATGAGATGAGGGAGAGACTAGACCAGTCTGCTGTCTTGCTGGCAAGTGCAGAAAATAGGGCAGGGGGCAGGCCTGGTAGGGGTTATTCTGGGTCGTGTCAACTATAGCTCCCGCTGGTTTGAATGAGGGCCAAGTGTGCTGGGCCAGGATTTGGCTGGACTGCAATACCCATTAGTTTGTGTAGAAGACAGGGCTGGAAGCAAAACTGACCTAGCAATTGCAACTACCAGTTGTATGTAGGCTGATTTGGGAGACCAACTGTGACCAGACCCTGTATTGGCATGCACACATAAGAATTAGGTCTGGGATCACTTCAGACAAAGTTTCTTTGGGGATCCCCCCAACTGAACTGGCAGACTCAGAACTCCAACCATGGAGAGAATTGCAGGTTCCATGGTTTGACCATAGAGTTCATGTATCAGAGCTAGGCCTCATCAGTGGCTTAGAGCAGTGGACAGCATATCCAAATGCACTTGGAGGATATGGCAGTACATTGGAGCCTGCAGAGGACACCTGGTACCATGACAGAGGACAGAGGACAGAGCAAATTGATGAACTACCCCAATCAAGAGTTGGCAGTGAATACCTGGGCAAATGGAGACTAAGGTGAACTGTGTCAGCCAGTGGATTCTGAAGAGATCTCAACGTGATTGGAGTGACAAGATCGACAGCAATCCAGAACTGTTGAACTATCAAAACCACTTGAGCAGGACACTCACAGGATGTCCCACATCAGGGACCGTGGGATGGGTGAGAGGCTGGATGTGCTTCTCCCCTTCTGTCTCACCTCCCTCGTATACAATAAGGACAAAAAGAATGTGAAAACAATGTTCTCACCCACTTTGCTTCATCCCTTGACTCATCACACCCTAATAAAATATGTAAAAATTATCAAAAATAGGGCCCAGCGGCGTGGCCTAGCAGCTAAAGTCCTCGCCTTGAATGCACCAGGATCCCATATGAGTTCCGGTTCTAATCCTGGCAGCTCCACTTCCCATCCAGCTCCCTGCTTGTGGCCTGGGAAACCAGTCGGGGATGGCCCAAAGCCTTGGGACCCTGCACCCGTGTGGGATACCAGGAAGAAATTCCTGGATCCTGGCTTTGGATTGGTATAGCATCAGCCGTTGCAGCTCACTTGGGGAGTGAATCATCGGATGGAAGATCTTCTCTGTCTCTCCTCCTCTCTGTATATCTGACTTTCCAATAAATAAATAAAATTTTTAAAAAATTATCAAAAATAAAATTTTTTTAAAAAGGAGTAGATATATTTGTTCATACTGTAGTCCATCTTTTGCCAGACGCTATAGAGAGAAAGGATAGTTATTTTGTTTGTTAAAATTGACCAGAATTCACTGAAGGTATAGCTGGCAAGAGATACTCAAATTCAGTACGAGTCAGGGAAAGGTAGACTAACCTAACTCGAAAATATTAAGAACTAATGCGTCCATTTGGGAGGGGGTGTGGGAGAAGCTTCCTTCTGTACATTGCTAATGAGAAGTAAGGTGTTACAGCCTCCTGGAAAAGTAACTTAGCCACATTTTTAAAATTCAAAACACATATAACCTAGGAAAAATAAACCTAATAGTAGAAATCTTGCCTGGTGAAATAAAAGCATAAATCGTTTAGTACATCCTTGATGGTACCTGTTTCAAAAACCTGGGAACAACCACCTGTTGATCAAGCTGTCAGTACCCATTAGATGTGGCACATCATATCAGCCCTTCAAAGGAATTGAGACTGTGACAGGTGATTGGAGGCAAACAGTCCTTCGAGTTGAACTGTAAGAAAAACAAGATTTAAAAAAGAAGAAGGGGCCCAGCGGTGTGGCCTAGCAGCTAAAGTCCTCGCCTTGAACGCCCCGGGATCCCATATGGGCACCGGTTCTAATCCCAGCAGCTCCACTTCCCATCCAGCTCTCTGCTTGTGGCCTGGGAAAGCAGTCGAGGATGGCCCAAAGCTTTGGGACCCTGCACCCACGTGGGAGACCTGGAAGAAGTTCCTGGATCCTGGCTTCAGATCGGCATAGTATCAGCCGTTGTGGTTCACTTGGGGAGTGAATCATCAGATGGAAGATCTTCCTCTCTGTCTCTCTTCCTCTCTGTATATCTCATTTTGTAATAAAAATAAATAAATCTTTAAAAAAAAAACAAAAGAAGAAAAGCAAGGTGTAGAATAATTGGCATATGATTATGTGAACTTAAAGCAACGAAAAAGTTATCTACATATAAGCTCTGTTTTTTTTCACATAAATACTTACATTTATGGATTTTTACATTAAAGAAATAGTGTTATTTTTGGTGAGTTTTGTTAATCTGTGGACCAAATTCAGCAAGGGAAAGCAGCTATAATAAAAATAGCAACTGGGAGGTACCTCTAATGTAAATTGCGTAATTGGAAGAGGGGTCACCAGTATGTTAATGGTGATTTGCCTGAGATGATTGAATAGCCTTATTTTTAGTATTGCAATGTGCCATTCATATTTGTTACGATATGTACATGTTATCAGGAAGGAAATATTTATGTTCTTGGTGAGGTAAGTTCACATGGAAGACCTTAAGCACAAGCATTGTGCAGCCACTGTCCAACTGCTGTCTGTGCATAGTTAACCCATTGAGTGTGTCAGTAAGAGAGGCTTCCAGCGCATCCTAACGCTGGTGGACCAGGTGATGCTATTTTTGAGGGTACTTCAAAAAGAAATACCTAAATCAACTTACCTTCTGATTCCAGTAAACTTTTGTAGTAGTCTTAACATCTGTTCATTTAGTTGTGAAACCTACTTACAGTAATTCTTTGTTTATGTTTGTAAATCTTTTAGGCTAAAATAATGTGTTCCTCAATATGCAAATGTATTGGCTGTAAGAATTTTGAAGAAAGCCCTGAGAGAAAGACGTTGATGCACTTGGCAGATGCGGCTGAGGTCCGGGTGCAGCAGCAAACTGCAGCCAAGACCAAGTTATCCTCCCAAATTTCGGACTTGCTCACCAGGCCAGCACCAACTTTGAATAGTGGAGGAGGAAAGTAAGTGTCAAGTCAATATTTTTATAGTATTTATAGTATTTTTATAGCATTTCTCAAATATTTAATTTTGATAGGTCCTTTTTTTGGAGCAAAGTTGAATTTCTTTTTAGTTGCTGCAGACATGATTTTTGCATTTTTTCCCCTCACTGTTACTTACCATAAAGAGATTTTAAAGTCAGCAGAAAAACTACTGTTGGATCGTGTGATTCTGCAATGTATGGTAATGTCTTAGCTTGCTATGCTTGTTTTAATTGGGTTTCTGCCTACTAAGATGAGATGTGTTATAGCACAGAATGCTGAGCCACTGGCTGTGATGTTGGCATCCCATGTGGGAGTACTGGTTTCAGTCCCATCTGCTCTGTTTCCCATCCAGCTTCCTGCTAGTGTGCTTGGGAAGGCTGCTGAGGATGACCTAAGTAACTGGGCCCCTGGTGGAGTTTTTTTGTCTTCTGGCTTTGGTCATCCCAGCCTAAGCTGTTACCTAGCTGTCGCAGCTATTTGGGGAGTGAAACAGCCTATGGAAGAGTCTCACTCTCCCTTTTTGTTTTTCTCTGTTGCTTTGCATTTCAAATAAATAAGTAAATCTTGACATTAAGAAAAATCCATAAGAATATCAGGTTCTAAATACATGATAGCATGTTTCACATTTTTGCATTTGCTTACCTTTTGTTTGTTTGTTTGTTTGTTTGTTTTATGTCCTTGGAACACCTTCTTCATCAAGTGAACCACCCATCACTGTTTATTACTAGAATCTTTATTATTTTCTTTTTTGTTAGGCTCCTGAACTCTAAGATAGAAAAGGTTGACCTTGAAATTTACTTCTTTTTATTTTATTTAAAGGGCAGAAACAGAGAAATCAAGTGTGTTCTTCCATCCACTGATTCATTTTCTAAGTGTCCACAATGCCTGTGGCTAGGTCAGTCTGAAGTCAGCAGCTGGAAACTTATTCCAGCTCTGTCTGTGATTGGTAGAGGTCCACATACTTAGGCTGTCACTCGCTGTGTCCCATGGTGTACTTTAACAGGAAGCTGGGTCAAAAGTAGAACCAGAGACTGGTGCCATGTCATGGGAGCTAAGCCACTCTCTGTGTGCTGACATTCCATGTGAATATTGGTTTGATTCTTTGCTGCTTCAGTTTTGATCCAGCTGCCTGCTGATGACCTGGGGAGGTAGTGGAGAAGTTGTTAGGCCCCTGCAGCAACATGGGAGACCTGGAGAATGCTCCTGGCTTCAGATCAGCTCAGCTCCGGCTGTTTTGGCCATTTTGGGGGTTGGGGCAGTGGGTAGAAGATCGCTCTGCTTCCCTTTTTCTAACTCTGCCTTTTAAACGAAAATAGATAAAAACCTTTAAAAAATTAATGAAAGAAAAGTGGATGCAAGTAGCACAAATGGCATCCTAACCATCACAGTACGTGCCCCCCAGCCAGAAAAGAGTGACCCTTGATGTCAGGTAGCCCTGAGTTTAGATACTTTAGTCTTTGCTGTTAGTAGTTTGCAAATTAAACACTTCACCTTTCTAGGCCTCTGTTTTCTTCTCCTTAAAATAACCATTTCAGGTGACCACGAGGAGTCCCCATCACTTGTTAGCCTGATGCATTGTGGCTTGCAGTTTGAACTTGGATCTGTTTTACAAAGTTCTTCGGTACTTAATTAAGGCTTTTGTTTTTTGTTTGTTTTGTTTTTTTAGTAGAAAAAATGTTGCATACATAATTTTTTTCTTTCTTTTTTAAAGACCTATTCATCAGAAAGGCAATGTTAGAGAGAGCAAGAGAGAGTAAACCATCCACTGGTTCACTCCTCAAATGATTGTAACAGTAGGAGCTGAGCCAGTCACAGTGCAGGATCCAGGAGCCTCTTCTGGTTCTCTTATATAGATGCAGGGGCCCAAGCCCTTGGGCCATCTTCCATTGCTTTCCCAGAAGTATCAGCAGGGAGCTAGACCAGAATTGATGCCTTCGGGAGTCTAGCCAGCACCTGAGGCACAGCTTTACTTGCTGTGCCACAGCACCACCCCTCAGTATTTCTAAAGAGCTCTTGACAACTTAATGGCAGCAAGTAGTTCTCTAATGATAAAAAGTGGAAAAGCTTGGACACCTTAATTAGAATCATTTCTAAGTTTTTAAATAATTCTTTAGGTTATTAAATCTCACCTCCATGTGAACATTATAGATAATGCAGCAGTAAAATATGTGCAGTCAATTTCTCAACCGAGAGATAATGTTTATGCTATGTAGCAAAACCAAAATTATATGGCATAATCAGAAATATACAAACAACTGTATAATTTAGTAGGGTAAGCCTTTGTTTTGAGTAACAGACCCCTGAATTATTTTTTCTCTACTTTTCTGTAGTTTCCAAATATTTCATTATAAAATTTTTATTATGTGGCAAGACCAATTATGGAGTGGTATTATACCAACATTATTGTCATGTGAATTATAATCTGCATGTTACAGTATTTCTAATTTAAAGTGCCTCTTTGCATTCTGAAGGTTTCCATTCAGGTACCTCAGTTACTTTTTCGGCTCCCTTCTCTTGGGATAATAGGCCTGATTTCAGATTGCCATGTTCAGTTGCCATTGCAGCCTGCTTCTGTTAGTGACTGCTTCCTGAAGTTGTTGAGGTGGTGGTTAGGTGAGGTTTCCTGGTTGAATCTGTCAGGCTGTGAGGGTTGGTGTGGCTGCAGTACAGCAAGCCCTCGGGAAGGATTGTTCCGATGTAACACTCAGTAGTCTAGATCCTTATGAATCAAACTCTGTGCACACTGGTGATCGCTTTCCCATTGCTTGCTTTTGCGTGTCGTGATGGGACATTGAAGAATTGTGGCATGCTTCATCTGCTGTTTGTTTTAAACAACATGAGAGGCTTTGTTTTTACTGTTACATCAGATAGGGCCTCCAGGATCCAATAATATGTATTGATTCAGCAACTATTCATGGAATGTCTCTGCATCAAGCACTGTTCTAGCTACAGGGGAAACAGTGAGTAAAACTTTAGTCAAACACTGCACGCACGCAGTTTGCATTCATGGAAGGACTTGAGTCACAGAAATTTTAGTCTGTACAATTACATATTTTAGTTATAAGTAACTTTGTCTATGGAGTGAATCATAAATGTTGTATATTCTGTACCGTATTTTTAAACTATGCCTAGTGACAAAGCAGATCTGCCTTTTGGAAACCCTTTATGGTATGCTGGTGCTCGCTGTGCAAACAAGATGGGAGACTTTAGCCACTTCTGTTCTCGCTCAGTAGCATCATTGGCTTTTTCTTTCTCTCAAAACTCATTCCAGGTTGCCCTTCACGTTTGTAACCAAGGAGGTTGCAGAAGCCACGTGTAACTGCCTCCTTGCCCAGGCGGAACAGGCCGACAAGAAGGGATCGTCCAAGGCAGCCGCAGAGCGCATGATCCTGGAGGAGTTTGGCCGTTGCTTGATGAGCGTCATCAGCTCTGCGGGGAAAGCCAAGAGTGATCCTTGTGCCATGCACTGCTAACCCCGCCCAAGGACTCGTCAGTGCCACTGTGCAGGACGTATAAGGTGCAGGGACACTTGGTTTTCTGGCACATAGTTCAGCAATTACTGTATTTTAATTTGGTCCTTATTTTTAAGAGATCTGAAATTATAACATTGAAAGCAAAGATTTTAAATGAAGAAATTAGTGCATTTTAAATCTTGGTTAAATCTGCTTATGCCCCTTCTAAATTGAATTTTTCTTTGTTGTATGATAGATTTTTAACTTGCTTGGGTTTCCTGAGATTTAGATGTTCTCTCCTTCTGATTCTATTGACAAAGAGCATTTATAAATTACTACACTATAATTTATACTGTATGGCGTCGTATCACTTTGTTCAGTAGGAAAAGCCAACGCAGCCTGAGCCTTACCCCGTCATTCTTTGGTACTAGATGTAGACCACATACAGATGGACTATCTATATCAACAACATTACAGGAAATGTATGCTAATCATAGGCTGTGTTGACAAAAGTACTGTTATTTTTAAGAATTAGCTTTTTAGGGCAGATTCTAAAATAATCTGTTGTCATTTTGGGATTCTCAGAAGGGAAGCAGTTCCTAGGCACACTTTTAAAATAAGTTAAAAAAAAAACTATAAAACCTTAAGGAACAGTAAATCTCAATTCTGGCATTGTGTTTCTAGATAAATATTACAGAGCGTCTTCATTTTCTTTCCATGAGGTGGTATGTTTTTGAGATGCTAAGAAATTGTCAGAGTGATTACTGGGTTCCATGAAAATGAAAGGTGCTTGTGAATAAAAGTAGGGATATTTTTATTATATAATGACATAAAACCTCACATGAAGTATATAACTTGGCTTAGATGGATAAATAAGGAATATTGACATTGAGAGAGATGAATTTAGGGGAGGAATTTTCCATCTCTACAAACTTACTTGTAGGCTTCTGAGTTCCAGCGGTTTCAAACCACTTCCTGGATTTGCTGAACCAGCCTCCTAACAAAGCGTTCGCCATTACAGTGGCATTTCTTCCGTAAGGAAATTTTTAATTGTGGCATCATTTTCTAGTTAGTGATTTGTAAAGTTGAGGGTGATGAGGGAAGGAATTATTTAAATCATTTTTAGAAATTCAGATTTCAAAAGCCATGAATTTAGGAGGCTATTATAGTAGGCCTCTTGATTTTGTGACAAGAAAAAAATCATGTTGTAATTGAGGGATATTTTTTTTTTCTGTTACCTTAATTCTCAGTGATGATCGGTGTGTGATTATACCGCTTCCTGCAAGGACTCTGTAGGTGTATGTATTCTGTATATATGTTCATATGGACATTCAAGATATAGGAAATAGCTTAAGTAATCTGAAAAAGGACTCCGTTATTCATTAAAATATCTTCCTTTTGAAGTCAGGATTTATAAAATTATAGTGCAGTAACTCTAAATGTAGATAGTGCAAATATTGTTAGCACCTCGATCATAGTCTGTTTAATTAAAATTTGTATAAATGTAAATTAGTGTAAGAGGATAAAATATCTAATCAAGTTATTTTTCAAAAGATTGCAATAAGTTTTTGGTCTAAACCTAAACTTTGTTCATTTTGTACATACTCTGTGTTAATTCTAATTGTCCTGTTGTGATGTGTATTTATATACAGTGTGCAGAAAGTGTTTGTGAAATTTCAACTGCAGTTGTAGATTATGTATGATGGCATTGCTTGAGAATGTTTTGCTTGTAAAAATTTGAAGGTGCAATCAAATGCTATTAGTTTTTCTGATTTTTCAAGAAGCTATCTAAGTATTAAGCCTTTTCCTTCCTGGGTAGTTCCTACTAAATGACTTTTTGTATTTAGGCATTTGCATCAAATTGCTGAACAAGATTATAAACCACATTAACTCAACAATTTTAAAAGACTTTTTGGGGAGGGTTGGGTATATAATTTTTTAGCTCTATTTACACCCCAAAGTAGAAAAATTAAATTTATATTTACTAGAGCTATTCAAAGAATACACTTTTCTATATTGTAAAAACAGGACAGTGAAAAAAATCATACAGAAAAAATAAACATTTATACTATTCTGTAAAAAAAAAGGTTTTGCATTTTTTCTTCAGTTTATTTACACATTTATTTAACCAGTTCACATGCAAAAATACTTTCATATTATCTAATTCTCAAGGAGATTTGACATTACTTTTGAAAACGCAATTAACAAATTGTTTTGAAATGAGAGTATTTTCTATCCCTCACTTTAAGTGGAAAAACTCAATCCACTTTTTTTTATTATGTAATTGAAAAAGAATACTGATTTGTTTATTTTAAAGTACAGAAAGAGAAAGAAAGGCAGAGAGCTACTCCACATGGCTGGGTCAGGTCGAAGCCAGGATTTTCAGCCAGATCTCCTACATGGATGCAGAGAACCAAGCAATGGGGCCACTGCCCTGCAGCTTTCCTCCACACCTTAGCCAGGAGCTGGACTGGAAGTGGAAAAGCTGGGAAATTGAACCAGTGCCCATATGGGGTGCTGAAATCACATGTGGCTTTTCCCACTACACTGCAGTGTTTGCCCATAATCTGGGATATCCTCTCAATGAAGAATTAGCTCTCCCAATTCTGGGTATTGAACAACTGATACTTTCTCAATCCTACGTAAAATGTGAATAAAAATCATCTTTAGAAAAGTTTTGGAGGCTCACATCCCATATGGGTGTCATAAATATCCCAGCTACTCCATTTCACATCCAATTCCCTGCTTGTGGCCTGGGAAAGCAGTAGAGGACGACCCAAAGCCTTGAGACCCTGTGCCCATGTGGGAGACCTGGAAGAAGCTCCTGGCTCCTGACTTCAGATTGGTTCAGCTCTGGCTGTTGCAGTCACTTGGGTAGTGAGCCAGTGAGTGGAAGATTTCTCTGTCTGTTTCTCTGTGTAAATCTGCCTTTCCAATAAAACTAAATATATTTTTAAAAGTTTTCCGTTTTTGTTGCTATGCAACACAAATAGTTAAGAAAATGAATACTTATTACATAACTAAAGCTTCAAATCAGATCCTGCAGCCCTACAGCAACGATTCTGCAGGGAACCCAGTTAGTTAACTTCTTTACTTATTGGAGTCGTTTTCTGTTAAGCAGATCACTTAAGGCTTGTGTGAGAGAATGTATGTGTTAGATCTCCATACACATTTTATCACTTTTAGAACAAATGTGAGCCTTCTTTGATCCAATTGATTTTATGAGGAAAACTATAGATTTTTTGGTGAAAAGTTTCCTAAATGGTAAATTGTGTGGGAGCATTTAAACCTTCTTAAATTGTGTTCAAAAGCAGTAACTATATTCAGAGGAACATTTATTGTAAAATCACAAGAACTCTAATGTAACTAATGTATTATATTACCAAATGAAATTTGGCAATATATAAATAAATCGGGCCCAGCGCAGATGGCTCCATGGCTAAATCCTAGCCTTTCACGTGTCCAGATTCCCATAGAAGCACCACTTTGTGTCCCAGCTGCTCCACTTCCCTTCCAGCTCCCTGTTTGTGGCATGAGAAAGTACGAGAGGAAGACCCAAAGCCTTGGGATTCTGTACCCACGTGGGAGACCCAGAAGAAGCTTCTTGCTGCTGGCTTTGGATCAGCTGAGCTCCAGCTGTTGCAGCCATTTAGAGAGTGAACCAGCGAGTGGAAGATGTTTCTGTGTCTCTCCTCTCTGTAAATTGGCCTTTGCAATAAAAATAAACCTTTTTTTAAAAACATAGTTGCAGCAAATTACTTTGCAGATATGTGAAAAACAGTTCAATCTTATGCTTTAAGAGCTAATATGAATTACAAGTCAAAAATTGTCCTGCAAAAGACACAGGGAAGGGTCTGGCAAAGTAGCCTAGTGGCTAAAGTCCTCGCCTTGCACACACCAAGATCCCTTATGGGCACTGATTCGTGCCCTGGCAGCCCCACTTCCCATCCAGCTCCCTGCTTGTGGCTTGGGAAAGCAGTCAAGGACGGCCCAAAGCCTTGGAACCCTGCACCTGCATGAGAGACCAGGAAGAAGCTCCTGGCTCCTGCCTTCAGATTGACGCAGCTCCGGCCTTTGCGGTCATTCAGGGAATGACTCACTGGACGAAAGATCTTCCTCTCTCCTCTCTGTATGTCTGACTTTCCAATAAAAATAAAATAAATATTTATGGGCCTGGTGCAGTGGCCTAGCCACTGAAGTCCTCACCTTGAACATGACAAAATCCCATGTGGGCGCCTGTTCTAATCCCAGCAGCTCCATTTCCCTTCCAGCTCCTTGCTTGTGGCCTGGGAAAGCAGTTGAGGATGGCCCAAAGCGTTGGGACCCTGCACCTGCATGGGAGACCTGGAGAAAGTTCCTGGCTCCTGCCTTCAGATTGGCTCAGCACTGGCCATTGTGTCACTTGGGGAGTGAATCATCAGCTGGAAGATCTTCCTCTCTGTCTCTCCTCCTCTGTATATCTGACTTTGCAATAAAAATAAATAAGTCTTTGAAATAAAATAAATCTTTAAAAGACAAAAAGGGCAGAGAAAAATTCAGCACTCGTTTATGCTTAAAAAGAAATTTAATAAACTTTATAAAGGACACCCAAACAAATGGTGAAAATGCAGTCTCCTTCCAAGACCGGGAATACCATATTTCATTCAGCAGTATCTGAGGTTATTGTATTGTTTATACAATAAGATGATTTTAAGAGAAAGCCAATAAAATTGATACATATGTTTGTTAAAGTCACTATGCAAGAGAGTTACATCTCTACATAATAACAATGAGCATTTAGAAGTCGAAGTTTTTAATGATTTATACAGTAAAATAAAAATAGATCTATGCTTAAAAGCAGAAAGTATTTATGAAAATTAATCCAGAAACACTGGAGAGAGCTACCATGTTCATAGATTGCAAGAAGTTAGTCTCCTCCAGTTGAGCTTGACATAACTTCAGTCAATATTCCAGCAGGAGTTTTGATAGAAACTGACAAGTTGATTATAAAGTCTGTGTGGAAAAAGATAATCATAATAGCAAAGACTTTTTTTGTAATGTGAAGTTTTATTTACTTGCAAAGCAGATTGACAGAGCTGTATGTTCCATACACTGGTTCTCTCCCCAGAAAGTCCACAACAGCAGGGGCTGGGCCAGGCTGTTGTCGGAGTAAGGCACTCAGTCTGGGTCTCACATGTGGGAAGCAGAAATGCCTATATCTGGGTTACCATTTGCTGCCTCCCAGAAGGCATAGCAGGAAGCTGGATCTGAACAGGAGCTGGGATTCCAGACACTCCAACGTGGGATGTGGTCATCAAAAACAGCAACTCAACCTGTTGTGCAATATACTCACCCCAAACAAACTTTTCGAAAAAAAGAACTAAGTTGGAGAGTACTCACTTGATGTCAGACACATAAAGCTAAGTTGGTCAAGATCGTATCGGTGGGCCAGGCACGATGGCCTAGCCACTAAAGTCCTCGCCTTGAAAGTACCAGGATCCCATATGGGCACTGGCTCTAATCCCAGCGGTCCCACATCCCATCCAGCTCCCTGCTTGTGGCCTGGGAAAGCAGTCGAGGATGGCCCAAAGCCTTGGGACCCTGCACCTGCGTGGGAGACCTGGAGGAAGTTCCTGGCTCCTGGCTTCGGATCGGTGCAGCACCAGCCATTGCGTCACTTAGGGAGTGAATCATTGGATGGAAGATCTTCCTCTCTCTCCAACTTTGAAATAAAATAAATAAATAAATAAATCTTTTTAAAACAAAGAAGACTTGAAGTTTGTATTAGACCCACAGAGTCGTGGAACACAGCCTACAGAAACAGATACATGTACATGTGATTCCTTTTTGGACAAGGGCACAAAAGGCAGTTGAGGGGGAAAAGTCTTCAGTGGGATTTGGATATCTGTAAGTAATGGAACCTCAGTTCATACTATCCCGCAAAGGAGAATGCAAAGGGAGGGCCTGGCAGTGTGGTCTAAAGGCGAGCTATAGTCCTCGCCTTGAACGCACCGGGATCCCATATGGGCGCCTGTTCTAATCCTGGAGGCCCTGCTTCCCATCCAGCTCCCTGCTTGTGGCCTGGGAAAGCAGTCGAGGACGGCCCAAAGCTTTGGGACCTTGAACCTGAGACCCGGAAGAGGTTCCTGGCTCCTGGCCTTCAGATTGGCACAGCACCGGCCATTACGGTCACTTGGGAAGTGAATCATCGGATGGAAGATCTTCTGTCTATGCTCCTCTCTGTATATCTTTGTAATAAAATAAATAAATCTCTTTTTTTTAAAAAAGGAAAAGCACTTTTAAAAAAAATGCAAAGGGAGCATTTGTAACTTCCATGGAGCACTTAAAGCTACCAGATAGAAGAAAAATCTGAGACCTTGAGCTAGCAAAGATTTCTCAGACAAGAAACTACAAAGTGTGGTCATTAAATGAAAAAAAAAACTGGATGTAACAAAACTTAATTATTATATGCTCTGTAAAAGATACAGAGGGGAAACATTTGCAGAGTATCATAATACACTTATATATCCAGAATGTGAGAGGTTAAATAAAATTTGTTCCACCCTCTGGTTCACTTCCCAAGTGATGACAATGGCTAGAGCTGAGCCAATCCGAAGCAGGAGCCAGGAGCTTCCTCCAAGTCTCCCACATGGGTGCAGGGTCCCAACGCTTTTGGCCATTCTCCACTGCTTTCCCAAGCCATAAGCAGGGAGCTGGATGGGAAGTAGAGCAGCCAAGACTCGATCCGGCACCCATAGGGATGTTAGCTCTTGCAAGGTGAGGATTAACAAATTGAGCCATTGCACAGGGCCCAAATAAATATAATCTTTAAAACAATGACTTAAAAAGCAGTTGGCAGAGCAGTTGGATGAGCAGTTGGCAGAGCAGTTAAGTATGCCTGTATCCCATACTGAAATGTCCTAGTGTGCTCCTCTCTGGAGTCTACTTTAGGAATGCATCCCAGGGAATGCAGTATGGATTACATACATCTGTGTGTTCTTTAAAAGATTTTTCTTTGGGCCCGGTGCGGTGGCGCAGTGGTTAAGGTCCTCGCCTTGCACGCCTGGGATCCCATATGGGTGCCGGTTCTAATCCGGCAGCCCCGCTTCCCTTCCGGCTCCCTGCCTTTGGCCCGGGAAAGCAGTCGAGGACGGCCCAAGGCTTTGTGACCCTGCACCTGTGTGGGATACCCAGAAGAAGTTCCTGGATCCTGGCTTCGGATCGGCATAGCGTCGGCTGTTGTGCTCACTTGGGGAGTGAATCATCGGATGGAAGATCTTCCTCTCTGTCTCTCCTCTCTGTATATCCACCTTTCAATAAAAATAAATCTTAAAAAAAATTTTTTTTTCTTCAAAAGGCAGATTTTAAAGTGAGAGAGGTCTTCCATCCACTGGTTCACCCCCCAGATGGCCACAAGAACTGAAGCTGAGCTAATCCAAAGCTTGGGGGCAAAGGCTTTGGATCACTCTCCTGTGTGAGTACAGGAGTCCAAGGACCCGAGCCGTCCTCTGCTGCTCCCACAGGCCTTTAAGCAGAGAGCTGGGTCAGGAGTAGCCAGGACATAAACTGTTGCCCATATGGAATGCAGATGTTAACAGGTGGAAGGTTCATTAGCTTTCTACAACACCATGTCTCCCCCACCCCTGTTGTTTTTTGTAAATGACACTTATTTTTATTGGAAAGGCTGAGTTAAGAGAGAGATCATCCGTCCTCTGGTTCATTCCCCGAGGTGCTGCAACGGCTGAAGCTGAGCCCGTCCAAAGCCAGGAGCCAGGAGCTGCTTCCTGGTCTCCCAGATGAGTTCAAGAGACCAAGGACTTGAGCCATTCTCCAGTGTTCTCGGCCACAAACAAGCAGCTTGATGAAAAGTGGAGCAGCTAGGACACGAAGTGGTGCCCACATGGGAGGCTAGAGCTGCAGGCAAAGGATTATCTTGTATATACCACGCTAGGCCCTAGAAAGATACTCTTTTTTTAAAGACTTATTTACTTTTATTACAAAGTCAGGCACACAGAGAGGAGGAGAGACAGAGAGGAAGATCTTCTGTCCGATGATTCACTCCACAGTGAACACAACAGCCGGTGCTGTGCCGATCCGAAGCCAGGAGCCAGGAACTTCCTCCAGGTGTCCTACATGGGTGCAGGGTCCCAAGGCTTTGGACCATCCTCGACTGCTTTCCCGGGCCACAAGCAGGGAGCTGGATGGGAAGTGGGGCTGCCGGGATTAGAGCCAGTGCCCATATGGGATCCTGGTACTTTCAAGGCGAGGACTTTAGTGGCTAGGCCATCTTGCCGGACCCAAAAGATACATTTTAAAGCTTTTCAGAGTAAATAGAAAATCCCCATATGTTGGTTCACTCATCAAATACAGGCAGAGACAGGCTAGGCCAGGTCAGAGCCAGGGACATGAATGAAGTCCAGGTCTTCCAGATTGGCAGCAGCAGCAGGAACCTAACTGAGTCAGCGTCCCTGCGCCTGCAGGGATCTGTGCTGGCAAGATCCAGGCATCAGGAAACAGGGCCAGAAATACAACCGCGGGATCAGAATCCAGGGCCACAAAATGGAACTTGGGCACTCTGATAAGAGAGCTACCACTTGACTGAACATTGCCACCCTGACTGTCCTTCCTTGTTTGGTTTCAAGTTTGGGTTTTGCTTTTTCTAGAGACAGTGACAGCTCCCATCTGCTGGGTCACTCCTCAGTTGGAGCCAATAGCTGAGGCTGGCCCAGGGCGGGAACCAAAGGCCAGGAGCCAGGAAGGCACAGCAGGTCTCCCATATGAGGGGCAGAGTCCCATCCTTGGGACATCAGTGTGGGCTCTCCAGGCTGAAGGAGCTAAGGGTCAGGTCGTGTCATTCTGTGTGGGCTGCAACTGTCCTCACCAGCAGAAAGCCTGGATGAAACACCTGCCCCTGGAAAGGAAGCTTTTTGGTTTGGTCTTTAAAGTTGAAATTATAACCAATTCACCCTAATCAACATGTGAGTGATAATGTCACCATCAGTGAATCTGACAGAAGATTCAGAACCTTTTCACAGATGGCAAAGGCAATGTGCTCTCATAAAAGGCAGGGGTGGGAATATTTTTGTCTCCAACGTCTGCCTTCCCAATTTACTCAGCACTTAAAGGAGTAACATAAAATGTGTATTTCTTCAAATACAGAACATATCAGTATTGTCCAATGGAACAGCCTTCAGATATGTGGACCTGGTTTTACATAAAGGTCAGGTACAAAAGCTTGTGCTGACACGGCAATAAGTTACAAGGGGCAGTTCAGTAGCAGGTTCTGTTTAATAAAATGTATCATGGTTTATTTAAAATCAATTCTATTTGCCAACAAGTAGAAAAACTCAGACTTCTGAGCAACAGATCTTGTATAAAACAGTAAAACACTGGTTACAATTCATCACCCGAACGTTTCTGTTGAGGTAGAATTAAGACATACCAAAATATTCTTTAAAAATATACCCCCTCAAAAAAAATATTTATATATGAAAGGTGAAAAATGACACAGATGCCTTTATACTTTGTTCACCACTCTATTGCCCACAGCCAGGGCTCCCGCGCAAACAGAGGTCCAAATTCTTCACCTGCCCCTTCACAAGGTACGCATTAGGAGACTGGATCAAAACTGGAGGCGGGACTTCTCAAGTGGTCATCTGAGTGCTAGGCTGAGAGCTCTCCCAGACTCCACTGTTAATTTGTAAGCATCTCCCGCCACCTAACAGGTTTTATAAGCATGAGTGAATAATGTGCTTGTTTCTTCTTTCCATCACTAAAGTACCCAGATTTGGGGAAATACAGGTATGTTTTCTGACTGACTGACTTTCCAAATCTGAGACAGTGGAAGAAATTATGCTTAAAATTTTTTTTTCTTTGCTTAGTCGGTCTTCAGATTAAACGTTTGCATTTCCAAAACACCTGCTGTATACATTTTTCCTGCCTCTTGTAGGGCTTGACCATCTTGACAGCTTGTTTCTCATGCGCCACCACATCTCATTATTAACACAGAATGTGTGTGTATGTGTCGTTATTTTAGCCTTCTGCAAATACAGAGGTCAGAGTCAAATCATGGCTTCTTTGTGCTTACTGATGAGCAGCAGACTCTTCTAGAAGGAGTCAAGTAAGTATTCACCTTTTTTTCCCACACATAGTGCTTACTTCCAAGTCCAGGAATGCAGGCAGTGAAAACCACGTCAGCCAGGTCCTCCCCAGTTTGGTTGTAGCCCAAGAGCAATCCATGGCTGGTACTAACCTTCCGCCTAACAGAGTAGGACTTCCTTCTCAGGGCACCCTGGGACAAGGGTGATATTTGGCTTTAGCCTAATTTCCAAACCACAACTTCATGTTCAGATAAAGATCATAAGGTTTCACAACTCTTAACATTCCTAAAGTCCTAAACCAAAGGTCTTTTAGGAAACAGTCTATTCTGGTTTATAGTAGCATCATCAAAGATGGAACTCACTGGTTGGGTCTGTACTCCCACACTGTTTTCTGTCTTGGGAAATTCACAAATGTCTCAGATCATATGAAAGTGTGAACAAATTGTAGGATATGTTACCAAATTTTCAGTCAGATTCGCAAACTTGTCCACTGTGCAGAATGATCAACTGCTAAAATATGGTGACATGAACTTTTACCAAGCATAAAAATGTCAAGATATTCTGGTCTCTCATGTCAATGGATATCCACTGCTACTCAGCCTGAATTAACTGTTTCTAGCCAAACATCACGAGGTGTAATCTGTAGGGCTCAGTGTTTCCTTGATATGGTTCTCATTTTAGTTCTGTTTGAATGATGTTTCAAAGGGCCTCAAACCCCATTTTTATCTCTGATATTTAAGAAACAGATTATTATATCCTTCAGCAATTTCACAAAGTGGTTAATGGCACACATGTCTCCATCAAAGAGATGCTTATCTAAATCTGCAAAGAGAGAGAGATGCTCCAAAAGTTCGTATAGTATTTTCTGTTGAAGGTAAAATTCTCTTTGATTAGGCCCTAGGTGCGAAACTGCCATGTTTGAATGGGTTCTTACAACTTGCTCGCAGATATTTATGACCTGACACAGGCTTTCTGAAGGAAAATAGGAACCATACTTCCTTTTAACACATAACAGGGACCCAATTTTAGGAGCCTTGAGGTCTGAGGCATACAAGGCACTGACGCAATCCTCACAAGTTAAAAGAGTGGATAGTTTATTGGCAACATAGGTGGCACACAAATTGTGATCTGGCTTATGAGTGGAAAGGTCCAGCAACGCTGCGCTCAGCGAGCAGCGGGACCAGTCTTGGCAAATGCCCGCTCTGTGGAAGACTGTCGTCACCTCCCTGACTCCACACTGACTTTGCACCGTCCCCAGGGTCAAGTCTTTCCTTCGTGCGATGGAAATGTCGAAGATGCTTATTTCATTTAGGAACACTTCATTTGGAAATCTGTGTTTGCTCTCTAGGTTATGGTAAGCCTTTTGGAATGTCACACAGGTGAGATTAGTATTGTTGGCTAACTGCCTAATAAGCATCTTCAAAAATAGTTCCACATGATCCTGACTGAATTTGTAAGTCATAAGGTATGGAAAAGGCAGGAGTCTTGGGAAAATATAACTTTGGTAGAGCCATCTTAGGCTCTCTGCGTTAAGCAAAAATCCCAGGAATCCCAGCTTTTGCTTCCCTTCGATGATCTGATTCTGACTAGTGTCATATAACGTAGTGAAAATAGTCTTGGCTTCTGTTAATGCATCATTTATTTTACTATAAGTTTTGGAGGACAGGGGTCCTCTAAGTCCTTTCCCATAAAAGTTCCTGCAGTTAAAAATGTTAAACAGATTGCTAATTATACGTAGAAACCGGACAGTCCCAGTGCAGTTCTGAAAAGCAGGCAGGCCTAGGGCCAACAGATATTCTAATGCACAGGCAACATTCTCACTGAAGATCTGGGCAGTACAATTTGGTTTGAGTATGTGCTGCTTCAGTCTTGCAAGTTCCCTTGGGAGTCTTTCCATACTTGTTAACTCCCGGTCCTCTAGTGTCGCTAACTCGACAAGGTGCTGCCATCGTGCTGTGCCATTTTTAAACCGAATGGTTTGCAAACTCTGAAATGTGTTTCTTATTAATTCAAGCAAGTGGCAAGAATCAAAGAAGTATGCAACCTCCTCGCTGGCAAATGAGGGATGCTGAAACGTACACTTCATGTTGTTGCCGTCGATACGTATCCCCAAGGCTTTCGCCACTTGAATGCCGTGAGCTGTGGCATCGGACGTCACGGCCAGAACTGTGATCCCTGTGTCGCTCAATTTGCCAATAGTCAGACGGACCAGCTGAGCTTGCAAGTAGCCAGATGCTTTGTTGACAAAAAAGTAGCCAAGAGGGATTCTCCAATGACCAAAAAGCCCCACTGCCATGAGCAAAATCGTTTCTGAGGCAAGTGGCATGTCATCAGCATCCAGTTTGCCAAGGCCGAAATCCACAAAACCTTGCATACTGTGGCTCCTGGGATCCCACTGGAGCTGCTGCTTGAGAGGGGTAACCTTTACGATCAGTGAACAGTATTTGTACAGCTGCTCTCCATTCTCTGCTCTTCGTTGAAGGAAAGAAAAGCTGTTGCTGTGGAAACCTGGACCGAGTTTCCAGTTGGAAAACCATCTGGAAAATATACAAAATGAAAATCGGAGAAAATGAATGAAGAACTAGAAAGATATAAGGGAAAATGCTTTCAGAAGTCTAAGGAGTCTCAAATTCCCACAGGAATCCAGCCAAGTAGCCAAAATTTACAAGTAGATAGTCACACAGTTACAACACATTAGCCGAGAAAATAGAGCAACTCAGGCATGCAAAATGGCATTTGAGGAAGCAAACATTGCAGCATAATTCATAATTTCTCATTCATCCTCTGAAAAGTGCGCACATTCCCTGGTTTCTTCCCGTTGATCTGCTTATCATGTAGTCCATCAGCTAGTCTCACCTACAAATTCCCTGAAATGAGAATACTCTCGGATGGGAAGAAACCGCTGAGAACATCTAGTTCCTCTGGCTCATTTTACAGATCAGGAAACTGGGACGGAAGGAGATGTTAGGTGAGGTGGCCCAACTGTGCAGCCAGGCAGGAATAAATGCAAAACCCAGCTCTTACTGCCCAGCAGGGCAATGTTTTCATCACTTTGTATAGTAAGAGAACTGTGCCCATAGGGGCCACTGAGGGCTGCCAAACCCCCTCCCAGAAGCATTTTTGTATCCTTGATCCTTTTTTTTTTTTTTTAAAGTATATGTGCTGCCAAAGCGAGCACATTCCTGATCTTCTCTAACATTTTGCAAATTATTCTTTCCTCTTATTGTTTGTGTCTATCTTCAGAACCTTCAAATGCTCTCTTTCTAACGTGTGAATTTCAGCAAAGACATGATTATGGTAATATTCAAAAATAGGTTAAAATGGATGCCAACATACAAACTGAGGTGCTCGCTTCTAACAGAAGCATGCTTTTGTAACTCAAATCTAACGTTTATGAATTTGGGTTTATATTCCAGGCAACTTAGGTTTTTTTTTTTTTTTTTGATAACTGGGCTCTATTTAATTGAGATTTTAACATATTCCCTTGAGAATTTCAGGATATGGCTTTCCAAATATTTTACCTGAAATCTAACACTTTGATGAGAAACTATACTCTTATGACATGTCATGAAGTTTCACACGTATGAAATTATATAACCTGTATATCATTACTTTTTGTGGCAATGAGAACACTAACGTGACTTCATTGTGCACAAATAGCTTAGAGAACCACTAGTAGAATGTAAAATCCTATCCTTTGACAATAAATTGTTTATAATGCATTTAAGAGATGAAATTATGTATAGGTAATTTGTATTTTATTTAATTAATTTACTTCAAAGATCTACTCATTTATTTGAAAGGCAGAGAGAAAGAGAGACAGGCATACATCCTCCAATCACTAGTTCATTCCCCAAATAGCTGCAATGATTGGGGCTGGGCCAGGTTGAAGACACAAGCCCAGAATTCCAGCCAAGTCTCCCTTGTGAGGAATAGGGACCCAACACGTCTACGGCTTCCTCAGCCCCATTAGCAAGGAGGCAGATGAGAAGTGGAGTAGCCAGGACTTAAATTAGCACTGCTACGGGATGCTGGCATTGTAGGTGGCAGCTTAACCATTGTGCCACAGTGTTGTTACGTGGTACTTGTATTTTAGGAAAGGACAAGAACAGAAAGATGATGAGAAAACGGGGGTGTTATGGTGGAAAACCCTTCATAAATATGGTATCAAATTATAAATGTTTAAGTCTTATTTTGTTGTGTTAGGATTCTCAAATGAATACCAAAAATGCATATGTTCTGTTTATGTAGTAAGAAAATAATGTAACTATTTGATTTCCTTATATAGATATTTTATTCTAAATGAGGTTGGAAAACGAACAGAAAAAAGGGACAAGTGATTAAACCTCTGCTTCAGATGCCTGTGTTGGACTCCCAGGTACTCCACTGCTCATCCAACCTCCTGTTAGCAATGAACCCTGGGAAGCAGATGATGGCTTAGGTAGTTTGGTCCCCACCACCTATGTAAGAGATGCACACAGAGTTCTGGGCTACTGGCTTTAGACTGGCTAAGCCCTAGCTGTAGTGGGAATTTGGTACGTGAAGCAGCAAATGGCTTCAGCATCAGGACTGTGCCAGACCTAAGCTGGAAGCCAAGAACTCCAACCTGGTGTGATGGCAGGGCCCAAGTGCCTGAAATATCATCTACTGTTTTCTCAGGTGCATTAGCAGGAAGTTGGATTGGAAGTGGAGCAGCTGGGACTTGAACTCATGATCAAAGTGACGCCAAACTTGTTACTTAAGGCTTAATGTGTCACACCACAGTATTGGCCTCTGTCTTACTTACTTCTGAATCTTGTACAGTGTCTATCTATAGAGCAATTTAGTTTACTAAGCTATCGGGACTATAAACATAGAAAATATCAATAAGGAACCGTGCCAGCACTTACCTATGATCAAACTAAATCTTTTAGTTTCACAAGAAAAACTGAGTAATTCTAAGGAATCTGTAAAAGCAATTTACCTTAAAGATCCAAAGTACTAGAACTGGGTGAATGAAGTACTTCTCTAAACAAAACAAGGTTCTTGAAGTCTGGCTTGGAGTGCCCTCATCTAATTGCTACACATCTAATGGTTTCTCCATCACTATGGAGGGAAAGGCAAGGATTTTGACCACAATTCTGCTGCTACATTTCCCTGGTTACTCACTTTTCTGGTCACTAAGCCAACTAGGCACATATTTTTCTTTTCTTCCCAAACTTCTAGCGCTTCTCTCCTCAACTCTTGGATAGTCACTTTATTTCATTGAGAAAACAGAAACAACCCAATAAAAATCTATTTCCTACCACCCAACCTGCTACCCCATCACATCTGGGTACCTGTTCTTTGTCCTGTTTTAGTGAATGAAATGTCCCTGTCCTAACTACAAGTCTCCTTTCCTTGTGCAGTACCGATTCTCTCTTCTATACTAGACTACTCCGCCATGTTGGAAGCTCAACACACATCCTCCACCAATAGGTCTTCTCTTCTGCCTACACATGTTTTCCTGCGTTTCTTCACAGCAAAAACTCTTGCATGGAATCTGTAACCATTTTCCCTGCTGCTTCATCTTCTACTCTATCTTGACTCTACTTGAACCACATGCCCCCTCCATTACTCAACTGTAACTGCTTTTGCCATGGTCATCAGTGACTACCAAAGGTCAACTTTCTGCCCTCATCTTACAGGATCTCCCGGCAGCATCTGACTCCCTCCCACAAACTTTCTACATCTGCATTCCAGCACCATGATCCTGCCTCCATCTCTCCCCTGGTGACTCCATTTTATTGGCTTCCCTAAGATTTATTTATCTTTATTGGAAAGTCAGATTTACTGAGAGAAGGAAAGACAGAAAGAAAGATTTTCTACACTCTGGTTCACTCCCTAAGTAACTGTAATGACTGATCCAAAGCCAGCAGCCAGGAGCTTCTTCTGGGGTTCCCAGGTGGGTGCAGGGTGCCAAGGCTTTGGGCCATTCTCCACTGCACTCCCCGGACACAAGCAGGGAGCTAGATAGGAAGTGGAACATTGGGACACGAGCTGGTGCTCATATGGGATCCCAGCACTTGAAGGGAGAGGATTAGCTAATTCAGCCATTGTTTTGGGTCCCTGGCTGCTCCTGATCAATAAATATCGAATACAATGATTTTAAAGATCTAATACTTTAACACAGGTACGTTAAAGGAGCAAATATTTTTAATGGGAAAATGAATGTAAATGCAACCAAATACCAATATGCTTGGCCATTCAGGTGTTTTTGTGGTAAAATTCAGACATTATCAAAATGTATGAATAGGCACTGGTGCCATGGTGTAGTAAGTTAATCCTCCCCCTTCAAGTGCCAGGATCATTCGGGCGCTAGTTCATGTCCCAGTTGCTCCACTTTTGATACAGCTCCTTGCTTGTGGCCTTTGAAAGCAGGAAAGGATGGCTCAAGCACTTAGGCCTCTGCATCCATGTGGGAGAACTACAACAAGTTCCTGGCTCCGGGTTTCAGGCTGGCTCACCTTCACTTGTTGTGCCCAAGGGGGCATGAACCAGTGGATGGAAGTGCTCTGTGCCCTTCCCACTCTAACTCTGCTTTTCAAAGAAATAATTAAATCTCTGGTAGGTAGGTAGATATAGATAGATCGAGAAGAATCCCCACTATTTCCGGACTCAGATTTTGTTGATTTGAGTGTCTCTAACATCTAGGAGTTACAAAACTCTTGTCATATCTATGCATCTTCACTTTGTTGGTGGAAATTTTACTGCTGAAATAATACACAAATAATATGCTACCTAGAAGATCTTAAAAAAGAGAAAACGGGCTACAAAACAGGAGTATGAGGACACTTTAAAAATAATGTGGGAAATGAAAAGATTATTTGTGGGCAAAAGAAAACTTAATTCGGAGGCAAAAAATTCAGGGAACCTGGAACGAAAGCCTAGCAGCTAAAGTCCTCACCTTGTACGCACCAGGATCCCATATAGGTGCCAGTTCTAATCACTGCAGCCCCGCTTCCCATCCAGCTCCCTGCTTGTGGCCTGGAAAAGCAGTCAAGGATGGCACAATGCCTTGGGACCCTGTACCCACGTGGGAGACCCGGAAGAAGGTTCTGGCTCCTGGCTTCAGATTGGCTCAGCTCCAGCTGTTGTGGTTGATTGGGGAGTGTAGCATCAGATGGAAGATCTTCCTCTCTGTCTCTCCTCCTCTATATATATCTGACTTTGCAATAAACACAAGGAATAAATAAATCTTAAAAAAAATAGACCCTTAAAAATTAAAATTTCAAAATCCATGCATTGGCGTTTGATACTAGCAGCTATCACGTGCAGAGTCCTAGGAATACCCTTGGTTTCCTTTCCCATCTCAGCAGTTACTCACGTCCTGAGGACAGAAGCATGAGGCAGCTTCAGGATCTTCCTCACGTACTCATAGACCGTTGTACCGCACAGGTAGAGTGTACCAGCAAATTGTTTCATTTCTTTAGAGTAATTAGCTGGGTTGTTCCAGTCATGCAGCTCCCAAGGGAAATCTGTGAAAGTGACATTCATTTAGTTAGAGAGTGATACACAAAAAGTTCTCTTCGATGCACACGTTCCCTTCTCTAATGGCTGCAAGGGTTCGGTTGACTGACCAGGGTTGGCTTGGGCCGAAGCCAAAAGCTTCCTTTAGGTCTCCCAAGTTGTGTGCAGGGGCCTAAGAACTTCAACCATCCTCTGCTGCTTTCCCAGGTACATCAGCAGGAAGCCAGAATAGAAGTGGAACAACCAGGGCATGAACCAGTGTCCATACGGGAAGCTGGTGTAACACGTACTTGCTTTACCTACTACTGCCTCAACAGACATTTTTTGTGTGTGTGGTGTAAAACGGATCATCATGTCTGCATGTAAAATACGCTGTTCATTCAAAATACGGCAATTGCAATTGGGTCTCTTAACTGTCCGAACCATTGTGGATTATTTAGCTGTCAAAATGTGAAAAATTTCAATTGAAGGCTTTATTATTCATTAGCACCCACCCTAGAAGTTTTTAGAACAAGGAGATAAACAGCTGGTTGAAATTCCCTTGAGCTATCAATTTGCCTTATTTTGGACTCTGCTCATGGTAAAGCCCCCTGTTCCTTTTTAATCTCTTAATCTCTTCCTCTCCTCTGGAGACATTTCTTGAAACAGGATTTTTTTTTTCCTTTCCCAGAATTTTCCAGCTATTTCCATAAAAACAGTAAGCTGGAAACTCTTTTGCCCTTCTTCAACATGTTGGCTCACAAAAAGGACTAAGCAATCTTTTTTTTAATTTATCCACATACCTATGCTATAGAATTGTTCAAGAAAAAATAGGGATTCTGTAGATTCTATGGTTCAACTCCACTCTAAAGACTTTGCAGGCCTGGCACGGTAGCCTAGTGGCTCAAGTCCTTACCTTACAAGTGCCAGGATCTCATAAGCGTGCTGGTTCTAATCCTGGAAGTCCCACTTCCCATCCAGCTCCCTGCTTGTGGCTGGAAAGCAGTTGAGGAAGGTCCAAGGCCTTGGGACCCTGTACCCATGTGGGAGACCTGGAAGAGCCTCCTGGCTCCTGGCTTTGTATTGGCACAGCTCCGGCCATTGCCATCACTTGGGAAGTGAATCAAAGGATGGAAGATCTTCCTCTCTTTCTCTTCTCCTCTCTGTATATCTGCCTTTCCGATAAAAATAAAATACTTAAAAGAATTGGCTTTGCTAACACATTACATGACAGTTTAAAAACTGCTTATGACAGTTGGGCAATATCCAAGGAAAGTTTAAATGAACATACTGATAAATATTTGCACTGAAATGTCACTTAGGGAACAGCAGGTGCTCATCACCTTCACTTCTCACATTATATTGAACCTGAGGCCTCCGAGTGAGGAAGAGTGAGGAGGAGCATGCTGGATCCTTGCTCTTCCATATCAAATGTTAGTTTTACTGAGGAACTAACTTTTTCAAGATTTCAGTCTATTAAAAATGGGGCCTCCATCTGGAAAATGGGAATATTTATACGTCCGAACCACTGTTTGACTATTTTTCACTTACTTATCTGTTCATTAATTTGTAAATTCAATAAATGTGATTGTTTTTAAAAAGAAACAGCACAATAGCATGTGTGAAGTCTATTATAAAAAAGGAAAAGTTCAGAATGCAATGCTGTATAAACTACAGGCTGTCATTTCTGTGTGGTCGGGGCTATGTGATGTTTTGGGCTGCGTGATGTTTTAACCTTCAGTTACTTCCTTACCTTTCCTAGAATAAACATGTAAATGTTGTACCTGGAAGATTGAAATGCAAAAAGCAACTTGGTTAAATTTTCATTTTTCTCACTTATGCTATTGAGACTTTTCAGTTCACAGATTAAAGTATGGTTTCATTCTCAAGAGCAAAGTATATATGTAAGGATATTACAAAAACACCCACACAGCTATTTTGCAAATATGACAGATTACTAGGAGCAATACCTGAAAACTGTGTTCGTAGCAGAAACTCTGTTTCTTCAGAAAGTAGTTTCTCTTGCACAAGTGCATCGATCAGCTGCAAATCCCTTCTCTTCTTGAGCAGCCTGCGGTTTGTCCAAGAGACAGGTCCTGCTCGGGACTCCCGTAGCATTTGCTGCACTTCACCCAGCATCTCCGCATCTACTGCCACGTGCGTCTTTAAACTATAATTATGGTCCTCAATAGCAACCTCTTGAGACTCACCCGGAAGGGGCTTTCTCAGGATTTTCCGTCTTGCTCTACCTCTAAGGTATATACCTGGAACAGGCTATTACAGAAATAGGAAATGAGCTATTTTAGAAATCATTATATAGATTATCTATAAAACCACCACTGATTACAAAGCACTCTTCTGGCTGCTGGGGAGTTAGGTATCAAACGGAATTTTTTAAATCGATAATCTATAGAACAATGCGAACAAGCTTGTGGCCTAGAAAAGCAGTGGAGGACGGCCCAAAGCCTTGGGACCCTGCACCCATGTGGGAGACTCAGAGAAGTCTCAGGGCTCCTGGCAGTTCTGACTATTGCAGTCACCTGGGGAAGTAAATCAGTGGAGGGAAGATACTCCTCTCTGTGTCTCCTCCTCTCTGTTTATCTGACTTGCCAATAAAAAAAAAATATTAAAAAAAAATAGTAAGTTCCTATGAGTAAGTCTGACACCAACGAAATACTTCTAAGTATGGCAGCAGGATAGAACAACAGCAAACATGACTGTAACCAGAAGCCGCCTAGTGTCAGAGTGCAAATAATTCAGTGACTACTGAAGAAGATGGAAAAAGTAAAAGCCATGTATGCGAGTTGTGGTTAAGGGGTAAAAAGATAAAATAAATCAAAGGGTCTGGTTCTGTGGCATAGTGGGTTAAGCCACCAACTATGGCACTGACATTCCATATGGGCACCATTTTGAGACCCAGCAGTTCCCACTTCCAGTCTAGCTCCTTGTTTATGACCTTGGAAAGCAATGTAGGATGGCTCAAGCACTTGGGTCCTTGCACCTTTGTAGGAGATCTGGAAGAAGCTCCTGGCTTTGGCCTGGGCCAGCCCTAGTCATTGAAGCCATTTGAATAAACCAGTGGATAGAAGAATTTTCTCTCTGTAATTCTGCCTTTCTTTTTCTTTTGTTTTAAACAATTTTAAAAGCGTTTATTCATTTTTGTTTGAAAGGCACCAGAGAGCTTCCATTCACTGGTTCACTCCCCAGATGGCTTTAATGGCTGGAGCTGGCTTGGCCTGAATCCAGGAGCCAGGAGTTTCCCTGGAGGGCCCCAAGGACCTTGGCCATCCTCCACTACTTTCCCAGGCATATTAGTAGGGAGCTGGAACAGAAGTGAGGCAGCCAGGACTTGAACTGGTACCATATGGGACACTGGTGTTCCAAGCAGAAGACCAACATAATATATACCACAGTGCCAGCCCCAACTGTTTTTCAAATAACAAGAAATCTTAAACACAACACAACAACAACAAAAGAAACCTAAGCTGATGATTCACTCATAATAAGTCTCACATTTTCGTTTATTCCTCCGATCACAATGCTAATATTAGACATATTTTTGGTCAAAGTACATAATATGACTGAGAGGAACTAACAAAAGTAATTATTTCAAAAAGTATTATGAAAGCTGTCTCATCCTTAACAAAAGCCTGAGTTCTTAAGCCATTTCCATCTTTGTTTTTGCGATCTGCCAGTAACCGTTCCGTATGTGCATTAAGGATCTGCATTTCTGTACTTCAGTCCCAGCTGTGACGTGGGCCATCCTGGCTCTGCAACGCTGGGGAAACCTCAGCTCTGCTGACACCAAGGGGGAGTACCTCGTGCAGATAAACAGAGGGCACGGCGTCTTTCCTCAGCTTTCTGCGGACGCCATGTATTTCAAAGTCACTTTTTTGAAAATGTCTGGAGCACAGCACAGCAGTTGGTCCTGGGAGCCAAATCTTGCCGCTCTCGGGGTCTACGCGGTTAACAGCGCTGATCCATCTTGAGCGCATGAGGGTATCTGTGGGAAAACTGGAGCGATAGGATGAAACTTCCGTAACATTCATTAGACAAACCTATCTGCCTGCTGCACATTAACCCCAATCGAGTTTCCTTTACTTGATTGCATTTGTCGAGGCTCCCTGAGTTTTAAAGCTGCATGTTCAACATCGCAACGATTTAATGTTTTCATCTGTAAGAGGGCAATTCTGCTACCGTAGATCCTGCCTTATTCTTTCCTCACTGCCTACACCCAACAGAATCTGTCCAAATGTGAACAGTTCATGAACACAAGCATCATCCTCTTTCCTGTAGCGAGTTTTTATCTGGAAATTCTTTGGTGCTTTCTCCTTTGAAGAGGTAGAGTCTAGTTCTACTTTGCTTGCGCAGGACCAGGAGCAGTGACCATGGGGGAGCAGATTTCTTGACTCTCTTTCTGCTGCATGGGCAGCTCCTGCGCAGTTATCCACCATGCTACAAGCAGTGCTGTGCAGAAGCCTACTGGCTGAGGCCCAAGGCCTTGTGAGTTACCTCTCTTCTGAAGGCCAGTCCTTCAGCCTGAGCCAAGCTTTGGGAGGACCGCCATCTTAGCAGGTAACCCACAACGCCTGCCTCATCCATGTGCGAGCTCACAATGTTGCCACTGAATCTTCCACCTGTCATGCAACAGAAAATGTCACTACACTTAGTTCTCTCATGTTTGGGTAAAAGGCCCTACTGTTTCCTAGGTTTGAATATGAAACTGCCTCACATTTCTCTATTTTATAAGGCATTTATTATGGAACACACATGAAGAGCACGTTAGTGCTCGTTCTGTCCCTTCTCTTTGATTTAGAAACAGATTTCTAGGCAGCTTGCATGCATTTTCTGCAAAAAAAAACAAACAAAAACAACAACAACAACAAAACAAAACAAAAAAAAAAGGAGGAGGGGACAGCACAGTGGCTTAGTAGGCTAATCCTCTGCCTGTGCTGCCAGTTTGCATTTCAGCTGTTGCACTTCCAACCCAATATCTGGCTTAGGGACTGGACAAGCAGCAGAGGATCACGCCAGTCTTTGGGACCCAGCACCCACATGGGAGAATCAGAGCACGCTCCTGGTTGGATCAGTTCAGCTCTGGCTGTTACAGAGTGAATCAGGGATGGATGAACTCTCTGTTTCTCTTTGTCTCTAATCTAACTTTTCATATAAAAAAACAAAAATTGTTATTAAACAAACAAACAAAAAACAGGGCCTGGAGTAGGCAGCCTAGTGGTGAAAGTCTTTGCCTTGCATGTACCTAGGATCCCATATGGGCACAGGTTTGTGTCCCAGCTGCTCCACTTCCCCATCCGGCAACCCACTTGTGGCCTGGGAAAGCAGTCGAGGATGGCCCAAAGCCTTGGGATCCTGCACCTGCATGGGAGACCCCGAATAAGCTCCTGGCTTCAGATCAGCTCAAGTTTGGCCATTGTGGCCCACTGGGTTGTGAACTAGTGAACGGAAGATCTTCCTCTCTTTGCTTCTCTCTGTAAAATCTGCTTTTCTAATAAAATTTTTTTCAAAATTTGTTATTTACTTTTATCGGAAAGTCAGATTTTACAGAGAGAAGGAGACGCAGAGAAAGACCTTCCATCTGTTGGTTCCCTCCTCATGCAGCCGCAATGGCAAAAGCTGAACCGATCTGAAGCCAGGAGCCAGAAGCTTCTTCCAAGTCTCCCACATAGGTACAGGGTCCCAAGGCTTTGGGCCATTCTTGACTGCTTTCCCAGGTCACAGGCAGGAAGCTGGATGGGGAAGTGTCACAGTTGAGATACTAACCAGCTCCCATATGGAATCCCAGCATTCAAGGCAAGGATTTAGCTCTAGGCCAATGTGCTGGGACCTGGCTGGCTTTTTAGATGGAGACAACTCCTTTAACAAAAAGCCAAGGCAGGGGCTGGCATTGTCCTAGGAAGTAAAGCCCACATAGGGGCAGACTGCTGTCTGGGCTTCTCCAAATGCCATCCAGTTCCATGCCCATGGCCTGGGAAAAGTAGAAGTCCCAGATGCTTGGAGCCCCACCACCCGCTTGGGAGCCCTGAAGAAATTCCAGGCTCCACCCATCACTGCAAGGTTTTAGGGCACGAATCAGCATAGAATCAGCATACGGAAGAGCTCTGTATAAAGCAGAAGCACAGAGGAAATGGAAATGTAATTCAGACAGGGAGGGGTCACATGATTAAAGTCCTCACTTAAAAGCCTCAAAGGAAAGTAAAATGCAAGGAAGGGTGTGGGGGCATTTGAAGGAATGATTAGGACCAAAGAGAAGGACAAAGAGGTCACTGGTAATGGTGGTGGCAGTTACCTGGCTACAGCAGGTAGTAAAGCCAGTGGGACTTAATTAAGAGCCTGGTTAAGGGAAGGGGGATGGTGGAGCAGCGAAAGGGGGTACACAGGCTCAGCTGGCTGTCCCTATTTCAAAAGGGCTTTCAGTGAAAGTAGACAGAGCAGCTGAAGAGTAGGGTAATTAACTGACGGGAGAACCTGGCAGGGGAAGAACAGGCCCCAGGTTCCAGAAAATACATAACTACATAGTTGGAACTCCTTCATCTGGACTCACACCTTCTGCCTCTCGTTCCTCTACATTGCACCTGCGCTTGGCAATGCATTACCTTTCTGCCCCTGTTAGCCGGCCCCGCTCCGCCTGGCCCCATCTCTTGCCCCAGCAAGTATTTAAGTCTTTGAACTCCCTACATCTCCCAAACAGCCTACCGCAGTTAAAGCAAATTTCTATGTCTGCAGGCCCCAGCGTGTCTCAACCCCAGTCTGCACCATAGACGTGCACGCACGTTAGAAATTCTGGGCCCCCTCCCACCCCTTTCCCCCTTTTCGGCCCCAGTGGAAACTTTGTGGCTCAGATCCAGGCCGAAGTAGAGCCAGGTTCAAACGCCAGACGGGACAGGCCAGAGCTGAGTACTCCCGTTGTCCCGACAGGAGGCCTCCCTCCCAGTACCCTTGTTGACAGTCATGACGCAAGCAGAAGGAATGAGGTCAGCACAGAGCAGGTGCGAGAGGAGCCCCAATTTTAGAGTTCCCTCGCTCCGCTCGCCCCGCCCCGTGGACGGCGCCACGCACGGCCCGCCCCGGTCCGCAGCCCGCCAGGCCCTGGGGGCCGCAGTGTCCGCTGCGGGACTGCGCTCACACGCACTTGTGGAAGGAGAGGCCGCGCCTCCGGTTCAGCACGGTGTCCCGGGCGCTACAGCCCACGGCGCAGCAGCTTCGGGTCATCTTCTTGTTTGGGAAGGGGGGGTCCGCCTCCAGGTTTCCCAGCTCAGACCCTTACTTATACAGAAAGGCGGGCCTAGGTGGCCTGTCAGTCAGCGCCCCGCTCGGCCCTGGAGCCAATCATGAGCCACGTCGCGTCGCAACAGCCAATGAAAAAGGTCGTCGGTGCGGTGGGAGGGACGTGCACTTGGACACTGCTCCTACTCGGCAGGGGGTTGGGGAGCGGGCTTTGTCGTGCTCTGAAGTTGTTCCTTTTGTATTCACCGGTTCTGGTTCAATCCGGTGCCATCGGCTTTTATTTGGAGATGGAGCCTGCCGAGGTGAAGCGGGAGGGGCTGACCAGCGCGCGGCGACGGGACCAGGGTGCGATTTAGAACTGAGGATAAGAGGGAGGGATGAGGAATGGGGAACGAAATCTGGAAGACAAAGTCGAGGCAAAAATGATGGTCTGAGATTCCTGTCCCTCCCTTGCAGCTTTCAGATGCGGAGAAAACGCAGGAGTCGTGGGCGGCAGGTGCGTGGTTCCAGACTGGCTCGAGAGACTGACTGATGAGAGGAGCCGCTGGCTTTTCGTCAGCGAACTCCTGATCGAAACGAGCGAATTCAGAAGAAAATGGGGTCAGGGCCTGCGGTGGCCGCTGCGGGCAGATGGTGTGGGCTGCGAGTGAGAAGATGCTGGAACGGGGGTTGAGTTGGCTCTTCTCTATTTTCGCTCAGCTTTGCATAGAAGGAAACATTGCATTCATTTGTTTCTGTCTTGCCCTTTCTGTGCATTTTGCAAAGGTTCCAGCTGAAAACAATATTCAAGGTAAAGTCTGGCTTTCTCACCTGTTGGGCCTATCAACAGGAGGCTTGTAATTGAATCCGATTGGGATGGACTGAGCTTCGGCTGAGGGTGGTCCATGAGATTGGAAATTGAGATCAGGGAGATGAGGGGCCAATGCTGGCCGGCCTGTGCGGATAGCGCCTGAGTTTAATTAGTGTCAGTTGATTGGACTATTGGTTGCAGATACAGCGCTCAACCAGATAACGCCTAATTGCAGTAAAGTAAAAATAAATAACACTGCTTTTTCAGGTTTTTTAAAGATTTAATTATTTTTATTAAAGAGGCAGGTTTTCAGAGAGGAGAGATGGATCTTCCATCTGCTGGTTCACTGCCCCAAGTGGCAACAAAGGCTGGAGCTGAGCCCATCCAGAGCCAGGAGCCAGAAGCTTCTTTTGAGTCTCCCATGAAGATGCAGGGTCCCCAGGCTTTGGGCCGTCCTTGACTGCTTTCCCAGGCCGCAAGCAGGGAGCTGGATGGGAAGTGGAGCAGCCGGGACACAAACCAACACCCATGTGGGATCCTGGTGCTTGGAGGTGGAAGATTAGCCAGTGGAACCACATCACTAGCCCTTCAGTTGTCTTTAAGGAGAAAATCGGCTGCCCTCTTTGGGTAATAATTTCATTGAGATAATTCCTAGTCCATAAAACTGACTTGGAATATGTACAGTAAAGTGATTTGTAGGATGTGTACGAATTTGTTGTGCGCCAACTGCACAACTGACCTCTGAGTCCATGGGAGAGCCTTTTATCACCCCTGAAGGGAGATCCATTCTAACCAGCTGTGCTTCCGCTCACCTCCCAAACTCCAGTCCCTAGGAAGCACCAGTTTACTTTCTGTCTTTGTGGATTTGCCCCGTTAGGTTTGGTCCATAAGGAAGTCATTAGCTAGAATGCATGGTGTTTGATGAGCAGCTTCTTTCACTTGGCAGAATGGTGCCTGGGCCCACGGTGTAGCATGTCATCGGGCCTTCATTCCTGTACCGATGAGTTTTAACTGCATCGTGTGGCTGTACAGCAATAGAATTATCCATTGCTCAGTTGGTCGACATTTGGGTATATACCAGATGGGGGTTTTTGATTATCACGGCTAATTCTTCCTTATTGTTGAAAATGTTGCTGTCAGTTGAGCATGTGAAGTGAGGACTGCTTTTTATGTCCTGCCTAATTGGGTTCCAACTATTGTAACTCTCATAGAAAAATTAAACAGTGTAGTTCTCAACGTGATTCTGACGATATTCTCCCAATTATTAATTGCAGAACAGTTCCTGAAAATGGCTGCTTGGCCCAACAGATACCCTAAGAGTGATTCCATAAAAGCAGCTCATTCTTACAGGCGCCACAAGAGGTCAGTGCACTCAGCGTTTGCGGTATGTCTGCATGTGGGACCCCTTGGGGAGCCATGTTTTGAGTTGTGTGGATCTGTCTTGACACTGGTTTCTGTCCTCTGCGTGCTTTGGGTCCCTGTTGTGGATTCTGCTGTGGGATCCTCAGGCTGTATTGTTGCTTCCTTTAGGGGCTTCATATCCGGTGATTAAACCTTTCTCACTGCTGTTCACATAATGAGCCGCTGTGATTATTGACTACTTCAATGAGGATATGTAAGCTGTGTTAAAGATAATTGTGATTTGCAAAAAAGGCCTTGAAAATGCAGAAAGTGTTTGTTTTTAATCAAAATCTTTTCAGAAGTGGCACTCCTGGAGATGTCGGAGAAAGACGTATAGGTTTTGGAAGATAATGACTGAAAATGTGCAGGGAAGGTAGAGTATCTTTCTTTGTTATTTTAAAAAATTATTTGAAAAGTAGAAAGAGATAGGAGGCAATCTCTTACCTGCTGTTTCACTCCCCAAATGCCCATAACAGCTGCAGCTGGGCTGGGCCAGGCCACAGCTGAGGGCTAGATCCTCAATTCAGATCTCCCACGTGGGTATTAAAAACCCAAATACTTTGAGCTGTGATTCCCAGGGTCTGCCTTTTACCAGGGAGCTGGGTTCAGGAACTGGCCCCAAGTCATGAAGGTAGTAACTCTGCATGGGTTACACACATCTCAACCAGCACCTTAGTCACTACACACTCATCCTTGTCTGTGTGTTTTGAATGTATCATGCATTTTTGAAACTATACAAATAACTTGGAAATGGAAAATAGTTCAGATAAAAAGTGGGTTGTGGGCCCAGTGCAACAGTTAAATCCTTACCTTACAAACACCAGGACCCTGTATACGTGCCAGTTTGTGTCCCGGCTGCTCCACTTCCCATCCAGCTCCCTGCTTGTGGCCTGGGAAAGCAGTCAAGGATGATCCAAAGCCTTGGGACCCTGCAACTGCGAGGGTGACCCAAAGAAGCTCCTGGCTCCTGGCTTTGGGACAGCTCAGCTCCAGCTGTTGCAGAAGTTTGAGGGGGTAAACCAGTGGACAGATGATCTTTCTGTCTCTCCTCTCAGTAGATCTGATCTGCCTTTCCAATAAAAAAATAAATGTTTTTAAAAACCCAAAGTAGATTGTAACATAGATCTTCTTAGTGGCTGTGATGAGACAAAAATAATCATGCTCCCCTTGTACGTAATCACGACAGTACTTCAGAATGTCTGGAAAATGTACTTGAAAGATGTTTGTTGCAAAAGCCTTTCAAATTCACCCAGTTATTTCCTAATTCATATTTTCCCTGGTGGTTTTTGAAGCCCACCATAATTATTTGTCACAAAAAAAAAAGGTTTATTTTTTTATTGGAAAGTCAGATATACAGAGAGGAGGAGAGACAGAGAGGAAGATCTTCTGTCCGATGATTCACTCCCCAAGTGAGCGCAACGGCCGATGCTGTGCCGATCCCAAGCCAGGATTCAGGAATTTCTTCCGGGTCTCCCACACGGGTGCAGGGTCCCAAAGCTTTGGGCCATCCTCGACTGCCTTCCCAGGCCACAAGCAGGGAGCTGGATGGGATTAGAACCGGCGCCCATATGGGATCCCGGTGCATTCAAGGCGAGGACTTTAGCTGCTAGGCCATGCCACAGGGCCTGATTCCATGTACCTTTTGGACATGGATGTGGATGTTGGTTAACCTTAGTTTTTAAGCCACCACACAGTTAACTTGGCACTTGTGTGGGTCAGGAATCTGGGGGTAGGGACTGGTGGCTCTGATCCGGTGTTCTTGTAAGGTTATAGGGTCTAAAGAAAGAAGCATGTCCTTGAAAACTGTGGAAAGACTTGTATGTTCTGCCTTTTCCTGTTCACTGAGGCCATGCTCGTGCAGGTTGGGAGGGACTGTGTAAGGGGACAGTCATTTGGGGCACCAACATGTGGAGGCTGGCTGTCACACCTTACCCTTTGGCTTGTGTTGCTGCTAAGTTGGAATGGCTGAGCATTGTCCTTAATGTTTTCTCAAGGAATATGGTATAATTGCTTGGGTCCAAGAAACATAGTTCAGTTGTGTAAATGCAGCATCCTTGAGCAGTTTGGCCTTTTCCTTTGAGCTTCACTTGTATCTAGTATAAATAGTACATTTTGCAAGTACTGACATCTTTCCCCACTCCCCTCTTACTAATTTCTGTCATGCTTCATGAGAAATATTTTGTCAGATAGTGAAAGTAGACCTGAAAGGGAAAATTGTATTTAGTGCCTGAGATTCAGAAGCTTTGAACTGTTGTTCTTCTCATCACCTGCAGGAACACGGCTGCCTGAGCCTTCCCCTGTTGTTGCCAGGGCATGCATTAGGAAGCAGAGCTTGGATTCGAACCCAAGCATTCTGTTATGCAAGGTATAAGAAGCCTCAAGTCCTTAATAGTTCTGTCAAATGCCTACCCTGAAATAATTTTGTGCTGAGTTTTTTGCCAGTCATATGGTAATTGGGGGCCTTAAATGCTCAGCAATAGAAAATTAAAATTAAAATACAGTTTGTTACACATTTGCAGAAAGCTCAGCAATGGAAACTTCATCAATGGGGCTTTAAAAGAAAGTATTAAATGTCCAATGATTAAACTTTTCCCACTGCTGTTCACATTCTGATTGATTGTGATTAATGTATTTGGATGAGGACATTAAAGCAATCGGGAGATATATTTATGCGCACACAGTACAGTTTTCCGTGTGTCGATTTGCCTGTCTGAATGTCTTCCTAGGAATTAAATTGGAGGATGTCAAACATCATTGTCAGATTTATTGGATCCAGAGTCTGAAGGTTTATATAGTAAGGTAAGGCGTTTGTAATGAGTTTTTTTTTTAAAGCACATAAAAATGTTATGAGTAAAAAATTGAAATTTAGAATGTAACTGACATACAGGCTTAATGTTGATATTTTACCCTGAAGTAAAAATAATTCCTTTTCAGCTTTTAAAGGTAATTATGATTTAAAAGTGAAATAAGCCAATCCCAAAAGGACAAATATCATTGTTTCTCTGTGATACAAGACAACCTTCATGTAAAATACAAGACCAATAGATATATACATATATATATATACATATATTCATCTAGAGTAATTGTATAAGGGAGACAGTCATGCTGAGAAGGGAAGACACAGTGCAATGTGCACATCTTCTCCTGAATGAAAGGTGGACTCCCAAAGAAACTGTTGAGTATATCTTGACAATAGGATGCTGGACTCTATGCCATTGTGTAAGCCTACAGTGTCATGATACAGTTAAATAGCAGAATGATGACTTGTGGCTGTTGCTGAAAGACTATGCTGTTGTGTTAATATGAGGAAAAACAAGGTGAAAAAGAGGGAAATGGGGAGGGAGGAAAAGAGAAGTCTTTGAGCCTATGGAACTGTATCATGAAAAACAAAAAAGTAACTTTCGGGTTGGTATATTGGATTCAGGAATAATCATTGGAGGGCAGTTTCTCTTAGTAATAATGATGTTATTCTTTCATCCTCTGAAATTAAAAAAATACTTTTTAAATTTATTGTAGGGTACTCCCATCTGTCCAAACACTTGGAAATTCAACCTAGATGTGCCGTGTAGACAGCAGCGACACAACCGCCTGATGCATCATCTGTCTCCCAGGGTGCGCATGAGCGGGCAGCTGGATCAAAAGTGGAGCCAAGGTCTGAACCTAGGCACTTGGGATATGTGATACGCACATCTCAAAAATCTTCTCAGCTAATCTGCGAAGTGCCTCCTTGCACTGAAATATAAATGACTCTACTTTGTATCACTACATGACTGTGCAGCAAATTACAGCTTCGTTAGGGAACTGTAGATGAGAAGATGGTAGGAAGCTGGATATTGCAAATCTGTCAGTTCTTTCATAATTAAGCTTGTTGTAGACATTTCTTAAATGTGAAGATCTGTTGTGAATACTTAGGTTGACAAAAGTTAATTTTCTGCTTAAGTTTGTAAAACTCTAATACAAATGTTGCTTATAGCCTTTAATAGAAAGATTTATGAAAGAAATGCACTTTATAAAAGATGACTGGGGCCCGGCGCGGTGGCGCAAGTGGTTAAGGTCCTCGCCTTGCACGCCCGGGATCCCATATGGGCGCCGGTTCTAATCCCGGCAGCCCCGCTTCCCTTCCAGCTCCCTGCCTGTGGCCCGGGAAAGCAGTCGAGGACTGCCCAAAGCTTTGGGACCCGGCACCCGCGTGGGAGACCCGGAAGAGGCTCCTGGCTTCGGATCGGCATAGCATCGGCCCGTTGCGCTCACTTGGGGAGTGAATCATCAGACAGAAGATCTTCCTCTCTGTCTCTCCTCTCTGTCTATCCGCCTTTCCAATGAAAAAATAATAAAAAAATAAATCTTAAAAAAAAAAAAAAAGATGACTGGAGTATTATGCTGCTGTTGGCTGAACTGTAAACTTGGTACTGAGTGCTATTCCACATGTCGGGTGCACATGCCATTTATGCCTTGTGTTTTGTTGTTTATGACTTTATGTCTTTGTTGACAAAGAGGGAGAGATTTTTGTATGCACTGGTTCACTCCCCAGATGGTCACAATGACCAGCACTGGGCCAGAGGTAAAGCCAGGAGCTTCATCTGGGTCATGTGCATGGGTGACAAGGCCCAAGTAGTTGGACCATCTGCTGCTGCTTTTCCCATGCCATTAACAGGGGGTGGATTGGGAGTAGAGTGGTTGGGACATGAATGGTCTTCCACATGGCCATGGCTCCTGCCCCATGATGTGTTTATTTGGTTCAGAATTTTACTCTTGCTTACCTCAAGATTTCTGAAACTTTTTAAAAAAAGATTTATATATATATTTTTATTACAAAGTCAGATATACAGAAAGGAGGAGAGACAGAGGAAGATCTTCCGTCTGATAACTCACTCCCCAAGTGACTGCAACGGCCAGTGCTGCGCCAATCCGAAGCCGGGAACCAGGAACCTCCTCTGGGTCTCCCACATGGGTGCAGGGTTCTAAAGTCTTGGGCCATCCTCAACTGCTTTCCCAGGCCACAAGCAGGGAGCTGGATGGGAAGTGGAGCTGCTGGGATTAGAACCGGCATCCAGATGGGATCCCAGTGCATTCAAGGGGAATACTTTAGCTGCTAGGCCACACCGCCGGCCCGATTTCTGAAACTTCTTGAAAGACTGTCCCTGAGACTGCAAATCCTAATCTGAAGAACTGTGCATCGAAGTATCTGAATGCTTGATCCAGCATAATATATCCTTTTGTATTTTCAGTTAGTCTTGCTCTACCCATTTCCAGTGTATGTGATATTAGATAGCCACAATACCATTAAATAATACAACAGTTACACAATATAAACTGAATAGGTGCATATGCTTTGCTACTAGCTCTTTATTCTTATCTATGCAAATAAAATGTGGCCAGTGATTGGTGACTGACTATGCTTACTTAGCAAAGTGCGTAGTTACGATGCTTCTTTGTTTCCCAGAGATTGAATTCATGTGATGGTTTACATGGTGGATAATCAAAAAGGAATTGGTCAGCAAAGAAATGAAAAGTGATAATACTGCAAGTAAAATTCAGTGTGATCAGAGAGAATTGAATATACTTACAGCAAAGATAGGCTGATGCTTAGGCCTTCATGAAGCTACAGTATGAATCAGTGAATGTCTCATGGCTATAAAAGAAGGTAAAGCTGTTTCTACATCTTGTAGTTTAAATTGCACTGGGACTAAAATATCACTTTTGGTTGTAATGAAGTGTTCACTTTCACTTTCACTTTGGATTAAACGAACCAAACAGCCAACATTTGGGACTAAACTCTCACATTACTTGTTACAACTGTAAGACTGAAAAACATTTTGCAGCCACTGGTATGTCAGAAGGCAGGTATTGGCAGAAGTCAGGATGAATTGATTCATGTTTCACTTTCTGGTGGAGCTGCACGTTCAGAGAAGGATGGTCCATGAAATTTGTACCCAGATGCCAAGCCACAGGCTGTCCTTGCTTTGCCAGTCATGTGAGGATGTGTTGTGGAGAGATCTGCAGGATTTGGATGGAGTGTTGTGGAAAACAGCTGATTCTGGGCATGCTGGCACTCTGCTATTCAACAAGTGGCTGCTGTAATGCAACCAGGGAATCCTAGCTAGGGTGAAGCTGTCGGTGTCAATGAGGAAAGTCAGATGTACTGAGAGAAGGAGAGACCGAGATCCTCTGTCTGCTGAATTACTTCCCAAGTGGCCACAGCGGCTGGAGCTGAGCTGATCTGAAGCCAGGAGCCCAGAGCCTCTTCCCAGTCCCTCTCACGCAGGTGCAGGGTCGCAAGGCTTTGGGCTGTCCTCAGTTGCTTTCCTAGGCCACAAGCAGGGAGCTGGTTGGGAAGCGGGGCTGCAGTGATTACAACCGGCACCTATATTGGATAATGACACGGCACCTATATTGGATAATGACACGTAAAAGGCGAGGGCTTTGGCCGCAAGGCTGTTGTGCTGGGCCCTCTTCCACTGGTTTTATGGTGGCCAAACCAGACTTCCTTGGCCAATAAAAAACCAACTTGGGCTTTTAGTCTAGGGATTAAGCCTCCACTCGGGATGACTATGTCCCATATGGGTTCAACTTTTAGTTCCTTTTGTCAATCTGCTAGTGTGCACTTTGGGTCTCTGTGATACACACTGCCATGCTTATCTTACATCCTTTCGGAGGTTTCAGGAATTTGGGGAGTGAACCAGTTGACAGGAACACTGTTTAGAATCCCTGCCTTAAAAATTACCCCATTGGGCCCTGCACAATAGCCTAGTGGCTAAATCCTTGTCTAGCACCATCGGGGTCCCATATGGATGCCAGCTCGTATCCCTGCTCTGGGTTCAGTCCAGATTTGGTACTTTGCTGGGTAGTTTTTCTGGACTTCTCCATTAAAATAAAACCCCCAAGGCTGACAGATATCCAGATCATGCACTTGTTTGGATCCACAACTCCAGGGGAAGCTTGCAGGCACCAGGGCCTGTGAGTGTGTGCTAAGGGGCCTGGAGCTCAGGGGCTACTAACTGGTTGCAAAGGATCCCAGCTCGGCGAAGTTGGCATCTCTCACGTCACCTGTACCTCATTGTGGAGGCTACATGTCCACGACACACGGTGATCTGGGCCCGAAGGCTTGGTTTTCCTCGAAAGTCTCTAAGCTCAATAGTGTAGGACGCCCTACTACAACTCCTGTGGGCCTCGTAAGAGCTAGATAAGGGAAAAGCCGGGTTGGGATGACTTCTGACTGGTGCAAGCAAAAATTAGAATGGATGAGGGTTGCTTGGGCTTGCCGCAGCATCAGGCGGCAGAAGCTGGCACTGGGAGCTTAATCTGTCAAGTTAAACTCCAGAACTACCTGGAGAGTGCATAATTCCGGAGTTGGAGTGGCCTAGTAGGGAAATAGTGTGCACCTCCCTCTTGGGTTACCACTCCCACTGGAGAGCAGAAAAACCTGGATAGGGGCTGGGGTGGCTAGACAGAAAGGCACTCAACAGCATGCGTGTGGGCTGGAATAGCAGGGTTGGTTGGGTTGAACTAGGCTTCAATGCCCATTGACATGTATGAGAGCTGAATGGGATGTGGGACAGACTGGACTAGTCTGCTGCACATATTGGCAAGCACGGGAACCAGGGTAGGGGATGGGCCTGGTGGGGGTTCTTGTGGGTCATTCCGACTAAGCTGCAGCTCCCACTGGTTTTTGTGAGGGCCGAGTGTGTGCTGGGGTAGAATCAGGCTGGGCTGGAAGACAGGGCTGCAACCAGAACTGACCCATCAACTGCAACCACCAGCTGATTGGGGCGATGGACTGTATTGTGCCTTGTACTTGCAAGTACACACAAGAATCTGGGATCTCTCCAATCGAACTGGCAGACTCAGAACCCTAACCATGAAGAGAAGTGCAGGTTCTATGGTCTCCCATCGAGTGCAAGCGCCAGAGACGAGCCTCCTAAGAGGCTCAGACAAAGCAGTGGAGAGCATAACCAGGTGCACATGGAGGATATGGCAATCCATCGGAACCTGCACAGGATACCTGGCACCACAACAGAGGACAGAACAAGTCAATCAACTACCTCAACCATATGTTGGCAGTGAAAAACTGGGCAAACGGAGACTATGATGGACTATGTCAATCAGTGGATTCTTCAGCAACCTTATCGTGCTTGGATTGGTGAGACTGACAGCAATTCATAACTGCTGAACTACCAAAACCACTTAAGCAAAACTCTCGGAGCATGCCTCACATCAGGGACCTGGGGTGGGTGGGAGACAAGGTGGGGTTTGTCCCTCTATTTCCCCCTTTGCCCCAGATACAGAAAAAAAATTTTAAACAACAGTGTAGGACGCCCAATTGAGCCCTATGAGCCCAGTAGCAAATGGCACTGAGGGCCTCGCAGCCCCATTTTCAAAGTTGGCCGGCGCTAGCAGTGTGGCCAGTGGCTGCAGACGCCCCCTGGACCAGTGCTACGTGGCGTTCCTTCGCTAGCTGGAAACGCCCCGCAGGGCTCTGCCTCCACCCGCGATCCTGCTGGCCACACCAGCACCCTGCCGCCCAGCAGAGAAAGGTCGCCTGCCTGGCGCGTGCGCGCGTCAAACCGCAAAGATCAGCCCCCCCTTGCTCCATTGCCCCTTGCCCCGAGTTCCCAGCGTCGCTCGCCGCGCCGCTCGGCGCTCCCGGAAGTACCCTGGCGGGCCGTGCGGCGGGGAGGGCGGAGCGAGACGTGTACCCGGAAGTGCCGGCCGGCCGGCGGGCGGGGCTGCGGCTGCCACGTTGAAGCGGAACGTGGAGGTGGCCCTGGGCCTCGGGAGGAGGAGCAGCGGCGGATTCCGGCAGATTCGGTCGGGCGCCGCGCTCAGGCCAGGAGTGGTCGCTGAGGGTCTCCGCCGGCTGTGTCCGCCTCTCGTCTCCCGTCGTCTCTGTCCGGCTGTCGAACCTCGAGGTAGAGTCCGAGCCGTTTTCGAAGCCGGGCAGCCCCGGCCTCGGGCACCGCTGTCCCCGCCGGCCTGAGGCCCTGTCTGGAGCTGCCGGTTTGGGGCCCGG